CCAATGTACACGACGCCGTAACGTAATGTAAATCATTACTAGGTAAGGGTGTAAGCTAGGTAGCGAGATAATACAGGAGGTACTAGTTTACGAAGAAAAAAGGTTTAAAACAATTAACGTGCGAAACGAGAAGAAAACGTAACGTTTAAGCTATTTAATAATTTTAAGCGTTAAATAGGCACCGTCAGATTAACGAGATTTAATTAATAAACTATCAAGGATTATTTATTAGCTATTATAATATATATATATTATATATATAATATAATATAATATATAAATATATATGTATATTATATACCTATATTGTAGTAGGGAAATCAAATTTTATGTACCACAGAACTATTTGTATAAAAGTCCATTCTGTTTCGTTTGTCGATCCGCGAATCGACGTCACTGGATATTCAATTGTCAGCGGTGCAATCGGGTAATGATTTAGGCGATTATACAGGGTGTTCTGATACACGTGATACGATCCAAGAGACGACGATTCGTATCGAAAGAATAAATTGAAAACGCAGGAGATTCTACGGTACACGCAAAAAGAGAATACTAGATTCTGCGTTCAGGATTCGTCTTTTTTTTTTCTTTTAAGGAATTTGTTATTGGATTGCGACAGGTGTACGAGGACAGCCTTTGTATTTTAGACGATTAAAAGACTAGTTTTTTCTTAGGACTTACGTGTACGTGTATCGCATTCGTCTGTATCTTTAGAAGCTAATCGTTAAGTTTCCGGTATCGGGCGCTCATCGCGGGGGACGGCAGACTTCTGTGTAAGATTTTTATGAGAGATTTCGCGTGTTTTTGAGCCATCTGAATTTGCAAATGTGTGTGTGTCCGTATTCGTAGGGCGAACGACGGTTTGGCGGTGCCAATCGATTCCACGATAGGGATGGATTATTTTCTGTAGACAAAAATATCGGAAAAAGAACAAACAATAAACCGCCCTTCGTTTCTTATTAATCGAACAAAACATAGAGTTCGAGTTAGGTTTTATTCATCACCTGTTATCGCGGTAAAAGTTTGCCCATCTCTGTCCCACGAAGAGTAAGGAAACTGTCTGACTGTGGAGATTAGAGGAACGATAGACACCTCAAATAGTCGTTTCGTCCGTTCAACGATCATGTCACTTGTATCTCGCTTGACTACACTATGTAGACTCCGATCGCTTTTGCTGTATGATTTTACAAAGAATAAAGAACACCTACAAGACAGTTTAAGTGGCGTTAGTTGATTAAAGCGTGTCATTTACGTGTTAACGAAAAGCGTATCCAGATAATTTATATAGTAAAACTTTGATACTTGCACGAGTAGAGACTCGATAGACGCTGCAAATATTAAAATTCGTGCAATTATCGAGGTAAGCAACGTTCTCGTATACGTTGCTAAAGTATCTCAACACCGAGAATAAATAATAAACATTTTTAAATGAGTTCCTAAATGAGGCGGAGATACTAACCACTTTTTTTTTTTTAAACATACGGTTATTGTGCCAGAACAATTATAAATCTACAGTAGATGTAGAAAGTATTCGTACATCGATCAATTTTCAAAAAAGTATGTAAAATTGTAGTTTATTAACTTATTTTCTATAAGCAATGACATTCTACATATTTTCGGAAATCTCTAGAATAGATAGAATTCAAAAAAATAGCTATTTATGTACTGTTGCGAAATTAACAAGAAAAAAATAATTAATCGATAGAAGCAATAAGTATTCGCACACTGTTTAATTTTTCAAACTTCATAAAAAAAAAAGGAAATTTACATTAATTTACAAGTATATAATACTTCCTTCGTGGGATTTCCTTTTAATTTTATAATTATTGTAAGTTTTCTCAGCATTAAATTACCTAAATTATTAGTTATTCGAAGTGGAATCTTTTTCGATTTCTCTATTAGAACCTTTTTTAAAAGTACTTTAATGGAAATTTGATGTTTTCTAATTCGTACGGAGCAATAAACTAATGTGTTTACGTTACAAACTCTGCTGTAAATGGTTCGTCATAAGAATCGTACAAATACTTATTGCTTCTATAATTTTACCCACTTTTCGTATTTTTTTGTTAATTTCACAAATTATATTAACTAGTAAACATTGTTTGGACTATATCTATCTTAGAGACTTCCGAGAATATGTAAAATATCAATGATTATAAAAAAAGATGTTAAGAAACTACAATTTCACAGAAAAGTATTTTGGGAAATTGATCGATGTACGAATACATTCTACACCCGCTGTATATACAAATGGTACAATAAATCTAAACGTACAAATGGTTACATTAAATACAGGATGTCCCAGCCTAAGTGATACGGAACTCTAACTCGAAAACTATCGGCCGAATAGAAAATTTCAAATATGGAAATTGCATGGTAAAATGGGGCTCATATTTCAGCGAGAAGGAATTTAGGTTAACTTTGTTATTTAACGAGATATTATTGTACATGCGAGGTAGAGGTCGAAAAGCATGAACGCTCATAATGTTACCTCTAAAATTTGTCTTTTGCATACAGTGGGTGTAGAATGTATTCGTACACCGATCAATTTCCCAACAAATTTTTGAGAGAAATTGTAGTCTCCTAATTTCTTTTTTTGTAATCAATGATATTTTACATATTCTCGGAAGTCTCTAAGATAGATATAGTCCAAACAACATTTACTAGTCAATATAATTTGTGAGATTGACAAAAAAATGCGGAAAGTGGGTAAAAGCATAGAAGCAATAAGTATTTGTACGATTCTTATGACGAACCATTTACAGCAGAGTTTGTAACGTAAACACATTAGTTTATTGCTACGTACGAATTAGAAAACATTAAATTTCCAATCAAGTACTTTTAAACAGTTGTCAGAATACTTATTGCTTCAACATTTCCATCGATTAATTGTTTTTTTCTTATTAATTTGACAACTTACATAAATATCTATTTTTGTTGTAATCTATTTATTCTAGAGATTTCCTAGAACATGTAGAATGTCATTGCTTATAAAATATAAGTTAATAAATTACAATTTTAAACAGTTTTTTGGGAAATTGATCGGTGTACGAATACTTTCTACACCCACCGTATATTGTTTTGATTCAACGTGAGATCTCGTTTCCGACCATAATAATCCCATTCTCGTCGCCAGTTATTGTATATGCGAGGGAGAGGACTAAAAACATAAACACTCTTTGTTACGGTTCAAGACGCACTGACTTTATTACCCGTATTCTGACATGCTACACTTGCGTTATAGATACGCACAAGCGCATGTCACACATCCTACAGATATGATGGTCAAGTTTCGGTTTTCAAATGGAATTATATATTTTTTTTTATACCATACGATAGTTCTTCTCAAGACGAATTCATTAAGCTTTAATGTATTTATCGGATTTTTATTAGTTTTCAAGCTATAACGCTTCAAAGTTTGCTAAGTTTTAATGAAAAAAATTCGGTTCGGCCTCGGGCGGTCCCATTGATGCAGTAAGCACCATGCGGTTCTTCAAATCGATACGGAGGATCTCGCTTGGGATTCCAGGCCCAAGGAGGGAAAACGGGAAACGTATTGACCGCTACTAATGCATTACTTGTAGCTTGGAGAATTTTCTAGGTAGATAATACTTTTCCCGTTTTCATTCCTTGGGCCTGGAATCCCAAGCGAAACCCTCCGTATCGTTTTCAAGAACCGCATGGTGCCTATTGGATCAATGGGACCGCCCGGGACCGAATCGAGATTTTTCCTTGAAAATTAGCAAACTTGAAGCATTATAGCTTGAAAACTAGTAAAAATCGGGTAAATATTGGGTTGTCCGGAAAGCTCATGCCTATTTTTAAGAAAAATTCAAAGGCATATTTGAATATTGATGCATATTTATTGAATTATATATGTACCATTTTGTTCCACAACCTTTCCACCTCTCAAGGAATGTACACATGTTATTTGTTTTTAACCATTCCTACATATTCAGACCTGTACCGCCTACTAAAAATCGGCATGGACTTTCCAGACAGCCCAAAACATTAAAACTTAACGAATTCATCTTGAAAATTACTATCGCATGGTATACAAAAAAAATGTATAGTCTAATTTGAAAAACGAAACGTGACCATCATATCTCGTTAAATAACAAACTTAATAAAAATTCCTTCTCGCTGAAACATCAGCCCCATTTTACCATGTAATTTCCATACTTGAAATTTTCCATTCGGCCGATAGTTTTGGAGTTAGAGCTCTGTATCACTTAGGCTAGGACACCCTGTATACATATATACAAATGATACAATAAACCTAAACGTACAAATGGTTACATTAAATATAATACATACTTAGACTAATGGCTCACCGCAGAGCACGCGTGGTCTTAACGTTAAACTATAATTACTGGACTTAATGCTACGTCAATATTACATGAAGAGGAATTTCTTATACATAGTTGGATTGGGATTATGTATAGAAAATGGCACTAGGAAAAAAACGATATGTATGTCGTGATTGGAAGGGTTGGAGTGAAAATAAAATAAAATTTGTAATCTAAGTTTAAACAATAAAAATAAAAAATAATAGTCTCCCCGGCGGGGAATCGAACCCCGGTCTCCCGCGTGACAGGCGGGGATACTGACCACTATACTACCGAGGAGGTGATGAAAACTTTTAGAAATAAACCATACAATTGTTGCTACATCTAATTATTTTTTTATTTAACTCGAAAATAAAATTAACTGCGCGTGAAAGTTTGTAGTTGAAACTGGGTAGTGAATCCTGTATTCCTGTTGTATATATTTCATATAAAAGTAATTATTTTACTCGATCAATAACAATCGAAGTACTTGTGTGCCCATCTATCGGTCGAAGGACCAAGCTACTAAAGCGCTACGAGTTACCTACAGAATAAACTTTAAGAGTAGTTTAGTTCACTCTTTGATAGGTGGCGCTACCATTTCATTTTTCTGTCGTCGGTAATATAGATTTATATCACTATTTATTTATTAAGAATATAAAGTGCGTTTAACCCAAATAAAAAACTATAAGGTACTAATAAGGGTGAATTTTGTAACCTGACCAGGCTATAGGTTTAGTATGTAAGTCTGCCACTGGAGCTGTATGATAGTGTAGTAGTATGATAGCATAATAATATGGTAACATGTTCCCGTGACAACATGAGCATATGATACTAGACAACATGATACTACAGCATTAAAGCACTATCAGTCATCTAATACTATCACTATCATATTAGAGCGCTAGAGTCATATTAATATGTTATCACACTATCATACTACCAAATTATCATACTGATATATTGTAATACTATCATACAATTGCATTGACTTGTCATCTGATACCTTATCATCATGCTTTATATATAGTAAACAACAGTATAGAATATAATCATAACAATTTTGTAGCAGAATAATGAGGCAATATGGTAAAATAGAAATATGCTGGTACAAGAGTATGATAATACGATAGCTCTATATCTTATAGTATGGTATCGTAAATGTTGTACGTCAGATCGTATGTTTGAATATGATGACATTGTGCATAATATTATAATACATGCATTTCGTTAAGGAGCCATTATCAATTTTTAGTTAAAATAAAGTTGATACACTTAATGTTACCGAAAAGAATGGAAGCTTTTCAATTAATTAAAAGAAATGAAGATATTAAAAGAAGGATATTAAAAGAAATACACTCCAAATTATTGAGAATATAATAAATATATAAGAATATTTAATTAAGGAACGTGTATATATTTTCATGGTTGCAATTTGTTTTTCTCAAAGCTAGTACTTAAGTTTTGGCGGATGATACAGAACGTTCAAAGTAATTTTCGTGTGTTTCATCGATGAAAGCCTGTATATCGCTCGAGTTTGGAAATAAACATTTTTGAGACAGGGATTTCATGGTTAAAGCTAGCTTCATCAATCCCATTCTTCGCGTGACTTTGGCTTTGGGCGTTGTTCCCGTTTCGCCTATGTACAACCCATGATTCCGTAGTTTCAACTCCAACGACTCACTTTTAATCGAATAAACAGTAGTCAAAATTACATAATTATCAAGAAATCAAACGACCATAATTTTTCCTGAAGTTTTTCATTTTACCTCAGCTTAATCGTGAGAACTCCGCCTAAAGTCACGAAATCTTCATAAAGTCGCTCGAGAAACACGCAACCGCTATTATAAAATACACAGCCATCCTCGATTGGAAGCTTCGCTACCTTTTCCCAAATTTGTAACAAGTATCCCTTGGACAAACCCTCGAGGAAGATGAAAAAGTTGTCGCAGCAATCGATAGCGAAACCAGTTAAGATATTTTGTAATGTACCTTCTACCTGTACCAAACAAACATTCAATTCCAATTCGTATATCACATTCCTGCTTACAAGGGAACATATCCAACTGTCCGTCTCCGATTTTGATGAAACTTGGTGGGTACATTAAGCTGGTGAAAATAAGGGATACGAATTTTTTTATAGCTGCCCAATCGCAAGTTTAGAGGTTGAAATCACCCTTGAAGTTTCAGCAGAAAAATGCTATCTCGAAAACTACAATAGATACAATAGATATCTTCTTAGGGAAAAGTTTCATGGGTTCATGAGGTAAAACACAAAGTGGTCACAGATTTTGTAAAATGTAATTTGTTTATAACAAAACAAATTTTTGTTACATTATTTTAAGAGATACCAAAATTTATATAAAAACAAAAATGAACGGAAATTGCTTTCCGAATCCATTGATATATAATACGATACATTTGCCTCCTACAGTTTTGTAAATTTTCGTATAATATTGTACGCAGGCCGCGCAAATCCACTGAGCTGCGGCCCGCACGTGAAATGCATATGTTCATGTATAGACATACGGGTGGCTATTAGTATGAGATACATATTTATTAAAAATTACACGATCTTTTAAAATTAACAATAATAATGCTAATTATATTTCTATGCATTGCAGTATGATATTGTTAGGAAATAATTTGATGCATGAAAATTAATATCTACTAATAGTAACAAAATTCTGACACCACGCACAAGTTATGATGGTAACATTTCCACAAAACCGTATTACCACAAATTTATATTTTATGCCCGGACGATATTTTTATACTTTGCAATGAATTATTTCCTAACAATATCATACTGCAATGCATAGAAATATAATTAGCATTATTATTGTTAATTTTAAATGATCGTGTAATTTTTAATAAATATGTACCTCATACTAATAGCCACCTGTATGTCTATACATGAACAAATGCATTTCACATGCTGCTCGATGGATTCGCGCGGCCTGCGTACTACTATACGAAAATTTACAAAACTGTAGGAGGCAAATGTATCGTATTATATATCAATGGATTCAGAAAGCAATTTCCGTTCATTTTTGTCGTTATATAAATTTTCGTTATACACTTTTCGTTTTATCTCATGAAACCATGAAACTTTTCCCTAAGAAGATTTCTTATATCTATTGTAGTTTTCGAGATAGCATTTCTCTGCTAAAACTTCAAAAGGTGATTTCAACCCCTAAACTTGCGATTGGGCAGCTATAAAAAAATACGTCAAGTTTCATCAAAATCGAAGACGGACAGTGGGATATGTTCCCTTGTTAGTCATTTACCTTCAAGTCTGCATCTTCATTCGAAAATGGAAGGGTGCAAAATAAACTATGATTGTAAGAAGATACAAGCGCTAAGATATCGTTAACCAGCTTCAAATCGTTCAAGATTAGAAAAATACGATTCAGTGTAGCAACATATCGAAAAACCACACGCTGAACCGATCGCAAATCATAAGCCACGCGAACTTTGATCTTCACAATGGTATCAAATGACGTCAGAGTATCATTGTCGAGGGGAGAATTTTTCCACGAAGCTGCCACTCCTTCATCACCTCTATCGGCAGTACTGATACAATATACATTTTTTGGATGAGACAAACTACCTGTCGATCTGATTTCCCACGATCCTCTCAAAAGGTCGGACACATCGAACGCTGTGACGCCAAGCAAAACTTCCTCTTTCCCAGATATTTTTACTGAGGCGTCGACATTTGATTTCCTTGAAGTGGAAATTGGCGACTTGGAAGCGTTCGTGATTCGTACGCCGATTATCTAATTGAAAAATGACGCAATAACAACCACAAGAACGTCGCTGTGTAAATATTTAAATGACCATCGCAATCCACGTGGAAATATTCAAACTAATTTACTTCGATTGTTAGAAATTTTGTTCCCACAGTGCTGATTATATCTTCTGCCTTAAATTCCTGATTCAAAAAGCATTTGACAAATTCGAAAAATATTGTTCTAGCAGGAATATAATATGGTGTGGCGATTGCTCGGTCGACGAAGAGAATTTTTGCGTAAAGATAATTAAAACCATTTTCGATTATAATATCGTCTGGAAAATTGGACATTTGTTCCAATTTGATCGATATGGAGTTTAAATTCATTCGCAATTGTTTGTTTGATAGAATATCTACACATTGCGTGTAGATCAAAATAGATGAGACATTTGGTATTTTCGACGTTCTGGTGTAGCATGTAATTGCACCCATTTCTAAGAGTAAAAATTTAATATAATCTTGGGCAAAATTTGAACGAAAAAGGACATACTGTTTAACTTTAAAAGTCTAATTTACCAGAAAATAAAGTTTCTACGGGTAAACTCATCGCGTGCGGAGTATCGATTTTGTGCTTCGCTTTTCTCGATTTTTTTATTTCAATACGTTTCTTTTGGACTGGCATTTTACGATTATTCGATTTCGGTTTCTGTTCGACTTCGGTCGATATGGTAACCGATTCAAGATTAAAGGATTCAGATGGAAAACGCTGTTTTCGTATCATCTTCCAAAATTTACATTGGTGTGCTCCATCTAAATTTTAATAAATAATTTAAAACGTATATAAAGTAACATTGAGAATATTAAACTTTTTTCTTGTATTAAGGACTTTTTTTAACTTATATATTAATATATTTTTAGAAACATTAAAATTTCCTTATACCTGGTATCACATTAAGGTATGTAGTGACACTAAAAACACCATCAGTTTCATGTATAACAATTACTGGTTCTGGTTCTGGTCTACTAAAAGAAGCTGATTCTTGCGAACCGAGAGGATATATTTCCAGAAAATTGTATTGTCCGATGTGGATTGATTCTTCATTTACATAAAAGCCTTTCACTTTATCTTTTTTCGCTCTATGTATTATTTAATAATATTTAATGTAAGTGTTTAATCATTTAATCCAAATATATCCCCAAAATAAATTGATCACATATACACCAACATACCTTTCACAGAACTTGTTTCTCCCATGAAACATTTGATAAGTGATCACGTAGCTAAAAAACTTTTTTATTTGCGTTTCGTTTAAATGAACAACATGATGAACAGAAAATATGACCCAAAATGCATTTTCTGTGATTGGACATGATACAGGCCGTAAACACCAATCACCATTTTCAGTATATATCTACATAATTAAGGTCATTATGGCCAAATAATTTAGCATAGTTAACAAAATTCGTAAACACTAGTTGTTAACGATACAATTCATTATTAATAACAAACTGTGCTTGCTAGGACATCTGTTTACCTAACTTTAAACCACGAGTCAGATAGCAGCTTATAATACAAAATGTCACTATTAATATGTAAGTCTTTTAATAAAATAGGGTATTGTAGCTTCCTGCATTAATTAGAATGTGCAAACAGCAATTAAATACCTTTGCAGCTGTTTTCCAACAGCGACAATCGAATTTGAAAGTATAACCTGGCAGAAGTTCGTATTCACAGTGTATTTCTGCTAATACTTGACCAACGTTTATAATATTTTGTTTTGATTCCGCGATTTCATACGTATCCTTATTAATTATCTTCTTCTTACGCCATTGCTTTCGTTTCCTGTTAACCTTACCTTTTCCTTTACCTTCATCGTTCTCCACACTTTCAGATTTCATCGGGACCAAAAATGCAAAGGTTATCACAAAGTGCATTTTAACTTATTGACAACTACCTAGCAATTATGTAAATAAAATTCTATACGTATTAATAAGGATTGACTACACTATGAGAGGTATCAAAAGGAGCATAATTATCACGTAGTTTAAAATGGCGCACGCACACAAGGACAAAAGAATTGACCTTCGTTGTGTACTCCCTTTATTGAAATATTGAAAAGCTCTCTGAATAATTCATACTATAATTACAAATGTATCAATAATTGGATCTATTATGTAATTATTTCTATTAGTTATCGTAATTGTACGAATAATTGTAATTTTGATGACTAAATTTGCGTTACAGAAATATATGGGGCGTCCAAAATTGTACAATAAGTCGTAACATGAAAATTCCGCTTGGCGAAAGATATCGATAATGCCTTTAGCATTTTGCAAATAATTACTATATTTTTTCAATTAAAATATTTAATATACATAAGCTATTTCAATTTCAGATTACGTTAACACGTGTTTGAATAAGTTCCACTTAACTTGACTTTACAAGAAAAATAGTGTTTGTTGGAAAATTGTTCACCATTCATTGCATAATTTCTTTGCATTCTGAATTACGAAAGAAAAAATTAATAACTTTTATTTTTCACACAATTTTTACCAAACGAGGAGTACATAAAATAAACAATTTTTTCCTGCTATGGTTAAAAAGCGAGGATATTTACATACTTGCAATGAAGAAATTTGCGTGCTTCTGTTTACTAAAGGATTTTTGAACAATCTATATTTACAAAGAAATACTACATCGACTAATAACTTTTGAAATATGTATAAATTGATTTCACATAATTAAGTAATTAGTTAAATATATATTGATTGTAGTTCCCGCGAAAGGATTTTGAGAAATTCAATATGGCGATTTGTAACTGATTCGAGTAAGAAACACAACGGCGTCAGAAGGATAACACTCGCCAAGGAAGTTTGTTTCGTATTATTCATATTTAGATTATTAGCTGATTAGGATCTTAGAAATAATAATACGAATCAACATGTAGATTGTGTTAGTTCATGTACACCATGATATTCGTTTTACTTTCTGCGTATTAAAAGCAATATACGTAGTTGGAGGAGTATTAGAACAATTTTATCGTGGATTCAAGAGAATCTGTACCTACAGAGAATGTCTCAGGACGATGACGTAGGATTTTTATACAAAACAATGAGTAAGTTCGAAAAGCTATATCTTGAATTACAACATAATATTTACATTATTCTAACATGTAATATACGATTACGATTATGTTCGTTTCACGTTGAATGTTTGGGTTTTTTTCAAAGACAAACAAATAACTTTAGTGGTGACCATTCAGTAATATAATCACAGAATATGAAAGGATCGATTGCAATTGCATTATAAGAAATACGTTTACATAGTCGTTATTAATTTCTGTTTTTTAAAAAGTTGTTTGTATGTATATTTGTAATGAAAATAAAAATGATATTTCACTGACATCTCAAAATACTATTTTGCACGTTCTCGTCAAACTTCCGCCCTGACAAAATTATCATAGCGTGACCTAATCATATGCATGATTTTCTATTAAAAATTTTACGTTAGACTCGCTTACAATGAATTTAATCTTGAAAATATTCAGTAGATTAATACTTGCTTATTTGATACGTTGCATTGATACGTATTAGGGACGATATACAGAAAATTAACCTAATTCACATCGCCGGCGTCGTTTGATTACGCATATGTCAGTATTTTACAAAGCGACGACTCGTCGAGTACAGTGAGTAGTGGGAGACATTCAAAAAGCTGTATAGCCATATACGAAGTGTCAAAACCACTGAAGGTGGAATATTAAGTCCGTATTATTCGAAAAGTACACGGCAAACCGATTGAAATTAAATAAAAGTGTTGCTTTAAGAGTAATATGACAAGCTTCTGTATGTATTTATTGTGAATTAAAGACTTACATAACCTAGAATATATTTCTTGTGATATTTTTGATAATATATGCTTTCTCATATAAGTGTATTTATAATTAGAAAATATATCACCAACATACCATTTCTTCTAATAAGATATATTTAGAATATCATTGAGTAATATGTTCTAAATTGTATTCTTCTTTAAGTTGAAAGAGATCCAAAAAAGAGGAGAGTCAAGCCTGTCGGAACAGCACCTCTGCTTGATTTTGATTTAGGTGAAAGTTCCGATGACAGTGATTTCAGAATTGAAGATCATTGTGAAGAATCAGATGATGATTCAGAGGATTCCAACGATATTGGAAAAGGTAAGCTATATCATTATAATTTAAAATATGTTATAAGGGAATATTGTGGATTGTTAGACATTCATTTTAATAAAACTTTGTACAAATCTTAATCAGTCTAAAGTCAGCTAATCAAGTATTTTTTTCATGTACATTAAAGAAGAAGAAGATGGATCGGAAGAATCTGATGATTCCTTGGATGATCCATTAATCAGTAGAAAAGAAAATGCTAATTTGACTGTGGGTGATGTAATAGAACAAGCTCGGCAACAAGCATTAAAAGGAGGAGGTCCACTCGAAGACAAATTAAATAAAATGTTAATTTGTTGTGGTTGCTTAGGAGATAGAAGTGATGATGTTAATGAAATTGTTGAATGTGATGGATGTGGTGTTAGTGTGCACGAAGGTAAAAGTATAAAATACTTATTCTAATTTTTGTACTGGATACGTATATGTAAATTAATTTTACAATTGAATTTATTCCAGGATGTTATGGTGTATCCGATGTAGAAAGTTTTTCCAGTACCGATTCTTTCTGTCAGTTAGCACCCTGGTTTTGTGAAGCTTGCAGTGCAGGCATCGAAGATCCTCCTTGCGAACTTTGTCCGAACAAAGGTGGAATTTTTAAAGAGACTGATGTAGGCAAATGGGTCCATTTAGTATGCGCGCTTTATGTACCTGGTGTTGCTTTTGGAGAAGTATGGAAGGTTTTTATTTCTAATATACGTAAATCGAGAACATTTTTAAATATATATATACACGTGTATATTTCATTATTTTAGGTTGATCGTTTATCAAGTGTAACGCTCTTTGAAATGGCATACAGCAAATGGGGAGCAAAACAGTGTTCTTTGTGCGAAGATGCGCGTTACGCTCGTACTGGCGTATGCATAGAATGCGATGCTGGAATGTGCCATACATATTTCCATGTTACTTGGTATGAATAGTTTATAAAAATTACTAAATCACTGAAATTCAATTGTGAGTAGAATATAGCAAAAATATATCATGGAATTTTTTTATAGCGCGCAAAGGGAAGGTCTGTTGTCTGAAGCTCACAGTGAAGAAGTGGACCAGGCTGACCCATTCTATGCACATTGTAAACTTCATTCCGATAAAACTCTCGTTCGTAGACGTAGACGTAATTGGTTAACTCTACAGTTACGAGCCCAGTATCGACAACAGTTATTAAAACAACCTAACCACTTAGATACAGAAGAACAACGTAGAATTCAAAGAAAACTGGCAAAACATCGACACAAATATTTAGCTCATAAAGCATCTCGACCACCGCCATGGGGTAAGTTGTTTATTACATGTAACAAAACTGTTACACTAAATCGTTACACTAAATATTTGTATCCGCAGTACCAACTCAGAAGATGCCCCGACTATTAACTACATCCGCATCTGCTTGTCGACAATTAGCAAGGAAAGCTGAACTCATGGGCGTTGATACGGCTGCATTGGAAGCACAGGAAGCCCAACTTGTAGCCTTAGTCGATGTTAGAAAAAAATGGCATATTCCGCCTGCTTTTAGCGTAGAATTTATTGGTTATTATTTGGATCGCAATTTGCGAGTGACGTCTATGAAAAGGCGGTTGCAAGAACTGCTCGATGTTAATTCGCAGTTGCTGAATGAACAACAGAGGCTAGACAGAAAATATGACGAAGTAATGAAGGATAACGAGGAACAAATACGCGTAAATGTAACATTGAAAGAAAAGATAGAAATGTATCACCAAGTACTCCAGAGCAGCGGTTATGTGAAACCTTTACCACAAATAGCTGACTTGGCAAAGCCACGAATAACACCAACATTAGGTAAGTCGCGACATGCTAAGCGAGACACACGACAGATCACTTGAATAAGTCATTTTCTTTTGGTATCATTCTTCGTAATAGGTACAGGTTTAGGTGTGCCAACAGCAGCTGCCTTAAAAATGGGTGTTGGTTTTCCCTTGCCAGTAGGTAAAGGTGTAGAAGGTGTACGCGAGGGTAGAGTGTTGAGTAGTCAGGCACAAGATCAAAATCATAAAGGTGAATTGACTCTAAGGCATCAGTGTGGAATATGCAGAAGATCTACAAATCAACATCTGCTTGCAAAGTGCGACACATGTCATCTTCATTACCATTTATCTTGTCTAAGTCCACCTCTATCGCGTATGCCCAAGAAAACGAAGTTAATGGGATGGTACGTATGTCCGTAAAAAAATAGTTACTACTAATAAACTATCTTATAATTTTCTTTGTAATATAGGCAGTGTTCTGAATGCGATAAGGAATCTTCTGGATCAGAGGTCGAACGTGTCGACACATCAGCCCCTCGTAAATTAAGGCACTGTAAGGATGATTCCAATTTAACATTGACACCAACACCACCACAAGAAGTGCAAGTGCCTACAACACCAACGACACCAAGCACTTCGAAAAATTCGTCTGCTAGTCTTAGTAGTGTAACAAATGTCACAATTGATACGCCTACAACGCCAAAAGTAATTACTTTGATTAAAATAGTTGTAGTGTGATGTTACGAAAAATATCTTAACTATTAATAATACATAAATGAAGTAGGCAGTGCAATATTATCTTCTTACATTAAATATACGCAGGTGACTATAAAACCAGTTGGACCACATCCTCCGTCTTCGACTCCTATTCAGTCAGGAGAACCGGTATACAATCAGCAACCTATTAATAATGTGACAATAGCGACGAGAGAAGGATCACCTGAATATATGGTGGCTTCGGCAGATGGCACGGAATCTGTTTCGCAGAGAAGTGCAAAGAAAAGAAGAAGGTCTGTAAAATGTTTTTTTTTCTTTTAGGTGATTATGGAATATGAAATTCTATTATATGTTATCAGGGAGAAGCATAAACGATATACACCTGATCCGATTACGGGAGTGAAACAAAGAAAACGAAAACATAAACGGAAAAGTCTCGATGTGGAGAATCCAGAAGGACAAGGTCAACCGGAAGTTCATAGAAGAATAACGATAAAGGTACATTTTTATTACGATACAAACAAAAGTATATTGATATATCTTTTTTTTTTTTACACCAATTTATTTCATTAAACAGATAAAACCAATACCAAGGCCAGAGGGTGAAGTTGCTTCTGAATCAAGTCCGCAGATGTTTGTAGCCACATCTACCAGTACTGAAATCACATCTCCGCCACTACCTAAACTGCCACTTCCGCCGCCTGCTCTACCCGTTCCGTCGATACAACCTTTAATTTCAAATGCTGCACCTGTAACAGCGAACGCGTCTTCTAATAGTACGGGTAATAGGGTATCGACGGGAAATGCAAAACGGGGAAAAGATACAGACCTTCTAACTCATTGCAATGTCTGTGATACGCCTGGCACCAGTCAAAATCTCGTCATGTCAGTTTATATAAATATATTAAATATATAGATGTTTTAAACATATTCTGTATTCATGACATTATCACTTTTCACGTCCCAGGTGTGATGAATGTAAAAAATGCTACCACTTCACCTGTCTTGATCCACCAGTTAAAAAGTCGCCCAAAAGAAGAGGCTACTCCTGGCATTGCGCAGATTGCGATCCTAGTGTAAGTTAATTATTATTTATCACCCATATTCATTGCAACAAAGGTACTTTTTATTTAGTCGAAGGAGGAAGAGATAAAAATGATAAATTTGTAAGTAGTTAGTGTTCGCGTGTAAGAGAATCGAACTAACATGTGATCGATAATATATAGAAAATATGAACACATGACATAATATAAAGTACTTTAATGTCGAAAACACCTATAAATCTTAAATTTTGTCAACGATCTTAAACATAGAAGAAACAATCTTATTAATAACTAGTTGCTAACATTAACTAATTATTTTCAGTAAAAGCAGTGGCATCTTTATTTATTCACTAATCGAATACAACGTTCCATTTACAAAATATTGAATGGCAATTAGTTATTAATACGACAAAAATTAAAATCTCAATTTTATAAGAAAATGGGAACAATTCTTCATAAAAGATGGATAATACACCTATACACTTCATGTAATTTTCAAGCAGGCCAAAGTAACAAATTAGATTACAACTTATTTATAGATACTTTTATCTTTGACCTGAAACTGTTACTAGGAATATATATTGAAGCTAGATTAATTCAATAAAAGAACGAATCTGTAATAGTAAATATATTTCTTTTATTTCAGGCCTCTGAAACTGAGACTTAATATCAACAATTTTATGTCTGCAGCTATAATTCCACGTTTAAATAAATTAAGACATTAAATGTCATTATGTTTTTTGTAAAATATACAAAATATAGTCAAACAAATTTTCCTCTGATTAAACAGTCTTTTGGAAGTACATACTGCAAATGTTACTTTTAAATATGTTTTAGAGATGTGTTTAACTTCCATATTTCTTTAGTGAAGTTTTCAGTATTTATTTTCAATCGACTCCTTCTCTACTTAATTTTTATAGTTTCTATATCTATAAATAAATATGACCCGGTTCTAAACAAATTCTAGATGTATACCTATGAAGGTAAGACAAAAATTAAATATAAGAATATCTTATACTTGTAAAAAACAACAATTATAGGTTAAGTTTCGACTTTTTGTTCTATTTACAATATATCATAACATTTCCTACGTTTTATTTTAAATTTAATTTAAAGAATAAAAGCATTTAATATGGCTATTTTTAGCATGAATACATTTATAATCTTACATTTATGTTTTAAATGTATATTCAGGATTTCAACATTCGTTGCTTCAGGATTCGCATGATCTCGATCAACGTGTAAATATCGTACAAAAATTCAAACAAAGAATTCTTTTCTTTTATTTCTGCTAGCCATAAAACCATTATAAAAGTCACGTGCAGACATAGGAGATCTACCTTTCATGACAACTTTCTTTACAGAAATACAGTTTCCTCCTTTACATTTTATAATTAATGCATCACTTTTCTTATCATATATTACAACCCCTGTAAACATAGAATTATTTCAACTTATACATCAAATGAAACCCTCAAACTTCTTTAACATTTCTGTTCCGTATTAGTATAAAACATGATATATAAACTTGTGCTTTTACCTGGCATTTCTCCTTCAAGTGTTGATGGAATTGATTCTTTTATCTCTTTGACATCATGTAACTTTATTTTTGCGTTCTGAAATGTTGCAGTAATTGGATACACTCCTAAAAGGGCGCGATGTAAGTCATAAATATTTCTTGCAGACATTTCATTCCACTTAATTACAGCTATTTTTGATGTTATTTTTGGTGCTAAAAGATATGAATCAGGAATTATATTTGTACTGTTGATAAAATGGTTCTATCAATTATATAAATGTATATTTACCATATGTGACATTTTCTTCATCTTGAGGTCTTGCAGATTGCAATATTTGTGGTAAATTTTCAAGTACGTTTACTAAAAGAGTTGCTCCAAGCTTTGCTAATCTAGCATATAGTTCTGGTAATGTTTCATGTTCACCAATATTAATTTTTTCTTGTAACACTATTTCTCCTACATCAAATCTAAAATAATATTCAATTTCTTAAGATATACATTTTGTTAAAAGACTTTCAAATTTCCTAATAGTGAATGTTACTTTTTTGGCATAATCTTCATTATTGTAATTCCTGTTTGCACTTCTCCATTCATTATTGAATAAACTATTGGTGCTGCTCCTCTCCATCTTGGTAATAAGCTAGCATGAACATTTAACATACCCCTGCAAAATAATAATAGATGTATACAATGTAAATTATTGTGTATCGCTAGAAAAAAAATGACATACAATGGGAATGAATTTATAATACTCGATGGAATCATATGACCAAATGACACAACTATCCCAATATGAAATTCAGATGCATTGAGCTTAGGTGGCCAGTTATTTACAATAATTTTATTCTTTTTTGCATAACTCATCACTACATTTTCTTTTCCTTTATTTACAGTAACAACTTCCAATCGTCGTAAAACTTTAGACTCGCTAAATAAAAAAAATTACAATCATACACGTAAAGTAGGAACAAATGGATTTTATATAAAAACATAAAAATTGTCTTACTACTTATTATACAAGACTTTTAAACTTTCAACCGAAAATTCATCTGTACCAAAAAATAACACATCCAATAGACCACTTTGCGGTGTCGTATGTGATTCTCTGTTACAAACATAATGTTGTGTTTTCGATTTAACAATTGATAACAATATTTTATTCGATTTCTTAAATTTAAACGCTAATCGTGTTCTTCTAAATGCAGTGAAATTGAAAAATGTCATATTGATTGTACTGTCATTTAGAAAATATTATAATATGCATTTTGAAGTTTAAATTTAAACTACACGCTTATGTTTCACGTAATACAAAACCTGATATAACCTATACATTATATATACTATAAGTGTATTCTGGTATTCATAAAGACCACCGATGGCGCCACTGATACCAACTGATACTAAGACCCGCTCACAGAGCGACTTAATGAGCGGTAACCTTTCAAGACTCATTGCCTTATACACAAAACGCTAAGTAATATCTTTAGAAATCACCATCAATCATAAAACTAGAAAATGACATCTATAATATTATTATATCTATTTACATTTTACATTGTCAAATTTCATTCTACCTAACAGGGCCGGCGCAAGGCAGGTTCAGCGCATTCAGCGGAACTCGGCCCCGTATTTTGGGGGGCTCGCGGTCTACGAAAATATTGAATTTTTTTATTAGCGATGATTCAGTTTAAAGGAGTGACAAAAATCATCAAAGTATTATTATTTAATATTCATCTTATAAAAAATATGTGACAGCATTTGTAAAGAAATAATTCCGCGTTGTAAAATTTAAGTGTAGAATTTGAATGTGAGTTCAGGCTCCGCAAAATTTTTGAACTCGGCCCCGCAAAAGGTCACGCCGGCCCTGCTACCTAATCTTTGTTAGAACAACCCCTCTAATAATAAGTCCATGCTCCCCCTAGTTTGTTTACACCCGTATGGAATTAGCTTACATTTGACACATGTATAGGAATAATAACAAGGAAACTCAATTTATTTTGATAAGATATGTATGTAAGGTATTTGTTTGATTGTTTTCTTGTCAAGTACTGATTTTCATTCTATCGTTCCAATTTACAGTGTCTGAAATTTTGAGCTGTGCTCTGTGCTGAACATAGTTTGAACAATGTCACGAGTTAGAAGACTTTCGATACGCGGTATTCGTAATTTCGGGGACGATAACGAGGAGGCTAATATTCGGTTTTCACGACCTTTGACGCTTATTCTTGGCCAAAATGGAACTGGGAAGACAACAATCATCGAAGCTCTTAAATTTGCTACATGCGGCGAATTTCCACCCGGCTCGGATCGCGGGAAATTTTTTATTCACGATCCGAGTTTGACAACAACTTCTTCGGTACGATTTACCATTACCCAATGAGTACGATTTACCATTCTATACACTAGTCATCTGTTTTAATTTTTTTTTTTTTTTTCTTTTTGTATGAAAATTATTGTTGTTTAGTTGATATTTCTATTCACACAGGTGCGAGGTGTTGTGAAAGCTGAAATAATTGATTCTGGGGGTAATATTTATACAATATGTAGAACAATAGAATCTACAAAAACAAATGCATCAATGAAATTTAAAACACTCGACAGTGCCTTAAGTAGACTAAATAAAGGTTCAAAAGAGGTACGCTCTGATACTACATATATCAGTACAAATATAGTATAAGTTTTTATTAATTTCTCTGTTTATTAACAAAGGTGGTATCAATAACTAATCGATGTGCCAATGTTGACCTCGAGCTAACAACAGCAATGGGTGTAACAAAACCAATTTTAGAATATGTAATATTTTGTCATCAAGAAGATCTTAGTTGGCCATTTCAAGATGGTAAAAAGTTAAAAGAAAAATTTGATGAAATTTTTGATAGTGCTGCTTTTAACAAAGCTCTTGAAAATATTACAAAGTTGAGCAAAGAGTTACAACAGAAAGTTCTTGTTTTGAGAGAACAAAAACAGAATGCTGAATTAGTTGTTTCTGAAGTAGTAGATAAGGAAACAAAACTTGAAGATCATAAAAAACGATTGCAAAATACTACAACAAAAATAGCAGACATTGATCAAGAATTAGAACCTTTAATTGCAGAGATGAAAAAGTTACAAAAAGTAGATTCTGAATATAAAGATTTGCAAACTGAGGAAAGAAAAACAAGAGCAGAATATGATATAACCAAACAGCAGTTGAATAGGTTAAAAGAAAATATAGGAGAAGTATTTGAAGGAACAATGGAGGAATTAATGTCACAGATAAAATCATATGATGAAAACTTAATGGGAAAAGCTTGTGAAATAACAGAATTTGAGATGAGATTAAAAGATATTGATAAAGAAGAGTCTAAGGTTGCAAACGCATTAGCCAATGAAAGGGTAACCAGTGGTTCTTTACAGCAACAAATCAAAGATCAGGAAAGGAAAGTTGCTCTTCGTAATAAGATATTAAACGAAACATTATCCGCTTGGAATCTTGATAACATAGACTCTAATGTATCCGAAGTAGAAGTTTTAGCTCTTTTGAAAAGGTTACAAGAGAGAATGAGAGAATTAGAAAACAGAGTAGAAGAAAACAGAGTAAGGAGGGCTGAAGAAGAAAAACAACTGCAAAAAGAAGTAGATACTTTGCGTAGTGAATCCTCAAAAATAGAATCGGAAAAAAATATGAAAGAAAATGAAGTAATTGAAACAAGAGATGAAGTTAACAAAATAAAATTGGAAATCATGCAAGTTGGCGCTGCAGCAAATAAGTTGAACTCTATGGAATCGAAAATGAATGAGGTGAAAAATAGACTTCAACAATTAAGCGAAACCATGGATGTAGATGCTGCAAAAAAAGAGGTTCTTGATAAAATTAAGTTACGAAGTGAAACAGATGCTATGTTAAATGCAGTCGATGAAGAAATAGCTTCCTTATTAAAACAGAGTTCACTGCAAGCTGAATTAGAAATACATAAATCTTCGTTGCTCTCTAAAGAAAAAGATTTAGAAAAATTAAAAATCAAACACGAGGAAACGATAATGAAGTTATTGAATATTAATGAACTAACAGAAACTAAACTAAGAACCTATTTCGATGCGGCTCAGAAAAAATTAACAAATGAAATAGAATCTATTACGCGGGAAATCCAAACAGAAGAGCGTCGTTCTACAACATTAGAAACAACAATATCACATGTTGAGAACGAACTTGAAAAGAAAAAGAAGGAAATAGAGTCAGATAAAGGAAAGATCTCGTCAATTTGTCATTACAAGGACTTTGATGAAACGTTATTATTGCAATCAAGAAAAGTCAAAGATTTACAAGACAAAAGGGGACTATATGCTCATCGAAGTGTTGCTTATAAGGAGTATATGAAGCAATTGAAAGAAACAAACCCTTGTTGTCCTTTATGCCACAGAGGCTTTGAAGAACGCAGATCTGTAGAGAACTTATTGAGGGAAATGGAAACAGAAATGGAAGATCATCCAAATCGTTTGAAAGAATGCGAATTAGAGTTGAAGATACAGCAAGAGAAATATGATAAGATGTTGCAACTAAAACCAGTAGTTGAAAAAATAATACAATTAGAAGAAAATGAATTAGATAAAATAATACATAATTTAAAAATGTCTAAAGAGAACTTGACAAAGTCGCGAACATCTATAACGAAGTTAAAAGAAAAGAAATCCAACCCTGAAAGTAAATTAACGATGTGCAAAGATATTATGGGCGATATTATGTTGTGGGATAAATATGTTGATGAAATTTCAAAACTCAAACAAACAATAGATAATTTTCAATCTCGCATGGTTCTCGCTGGAATTAAATCGGAACGTAGTCTCGAAGAAGCTCAAAGTCATAGAGAAGAATTGAAAGCATCTGTAAAAAATATCCGCGATGACATAGAAACATTACAGTCGAAAATAAACGCGTACAATGAAAAAATGCATAATGCTCGAGAAGAACAAAATACATTACACGAAGAACTGTTAAAAATACGTTCAGGCATGCAGAAATTAAAACAATTAAAAGATCAGCAGGAAGCATTGTTCACGAAAGAAGTTTCTCTTGGAGAGTCTGTAGATATACTAAGACGAAAAGTGACTGCTGCGAAAACTGAATTAAATGCAGGTATTGATAAGTTAGAAAAAAAGAAGAAAGATAATTGGGAAAAACACGAAGTTGATAGAGAATTATTAACGGAAGGTACTAGACGCTTAAGAGAGTTACAAAAAGTGCAAGATGAAGTAGATGCATTTGTATATCGTAAAATTCCCGAGGCTTTAGAGCGCTCTGAATCGAAGATAAAAAATTATCAGAATTCCATCAACAAATTTGTACGCGAGAAAAGTACCGCTGAAGCAATGGTAAATAAGTTAAAGGAGGAAATTAATCGTCAGGAAATCCGGAAAAGAGAATTATCTGATAATATTCTGTTGCGAAAAACTCACGAAAATGTTAAAAGTTTACAACAACAATGCTCGCATATAGAAGAGAAACTGAAGGCTATAAACTATGATGAAATGAAAGAAAAATGGCAGGACTTACAAAGTCGAGAAGAGGTTCTCCTCCGTCAGGTAGGAAATTTACCTATGTTTATCGATACCTATGTTATTTTTTAATAATAGTTGAATTACGATTAAATTATTCGTAGAAAAACATGGCTAAAGGTAATCAAGAAGAATTACAAAGAGCTATTCTACAGTATACCCAAGAGTTGAAGAAGGAACTTTACAGGCAAGCTCGTAGACATTATAAGAGCAAATGCATCGAATTAACAGTAATATGTTATGAATATTTTATTTTATACATTTAGGATTTAATGTAAATAGTAATGCACGTTTGACATAACTTATTTCTAAATTAGGTAATGCAAGAAGCCATATTAAATTTAAAAGCATACAGTACAGTATTAGATGTTGCTATGATGGAATATCATGAAGAACGCATGTCTACAGTTAACAGAATTATAAAACAAATGTGGAAACTTGTGTATACTGGAACAGATACGACGTCTATAGAAATTCGCACGGATGCTACTCAAGGTGTAGGTACTAAAAGAAGAACATACAACTATAGACTGGTTCAAACAAAACATGGTCACGAATTAGATATGAAAGGTCGCTGCAGTGCTGGTCAAAGAGTAAGTGCTTTTAAATGCAATACATTCATATTATTTTAATGTCACTTATAAACATCCTATTTCAGGTTTTAGCTTCTATAATTATAAGACTCGCTTTGGCAGAAACTTTCTGCAAAGATTGCGGAATTCTCGCGTTGGATGAACCAACAACAAACTTGGATCAACAAAATGCAGATAGTTTAGCGAGTGCATTAGCCACGTATGTCTGAATTCGTATAATTATTCAAATAATTTATACGGAATACATATAGTGGTTATTGCTTAAAATTCTTACACTTATTATTTTTATGTCGTAGGGTTGTTAAAATACGATCACGTCAAAAGAATTTTCAGCTACTTGTAATTAGCCACGATGAAAAGTTTTTGTTTAAATTAGCCGAATTGAATAGCAATAAAGGCTTCTATGAACTTTACCGGAAAGCAAGGTATGTTCGTGTGAAATATTGCATAATATAGCGCTTACTCAGGTATTAAATATGTATTTTCCAGTGGATACACGGCAGTTAGGTATTGTCAAGTTGAGACTCGCGATCACATCGATCTAAATGCTATAAAGCAAGAAATATCATCGGACGAAGAAGCCAATGAATACTCTGAAAAATCACGAGATCGCTCACAGGAGTCAAATTCATCTAAAAAATCGTATAATGAGAATGTATATCACAAAAAAAGACAGATTAGCGATAACGATAGAGAGGAGCATACCGAAGCTAGAGCATCAAAAAGAAGATATGTTTTGAACATATAATTTCCTCATTTCTTTTTATTAATACTATGTACAATAAAAGAATGTGCTATTTTATGTAGAGTCCACTAAAGTTATGCGTTTTTGTTTGTTTGTTACATTAAAAAAAATGTACGCTTTATATTTTACGCGTAAAATTTTATATTTTTATAAAATTCTAGTAACAACTTTATGTTCGTATTACATTGTAGTAGTTACAAATATACATTTAATTTTTCATGTGTTATGGAACATATAAAAATAGTCTTCCTTTTAGAAATCTAGTTATATTTTATATACATGACGAAAATTGAATTTTTATATTCATATTAATGAAAACCCTTAATCAGATTAGTAAATGTTTTTATTAGTGCTTTTAAATATTACCGCCTGTTTCGTTAACGTTGCGTGTATCGAGTACTGGATCGATTTCGATAATCGAGTTTTAATCGTGCTTGGTCGATAAAGGCGAAGAACAGGTGACGACATCGTTGTCATACTCGTGATTTCATAACACGCCATTTTCTTTGTGTGAAGTGCTGGCTCGGGAAAATTTCACTCACTGTTTTCTATCTAATTCAAGGTAACGCGAGTTATAATTGATATTTTATTATTCCGTCAAACATCGTCTACGTCTCTCAACGTGCGTCATATGCGTTTCATTGGACACTTGTCCGATCGTCTTAATAAATCTCAATTGTTGAGATCGCGTGTTGACAGGTTTTCAAGCATCGCAGTTAAACGGATTCTATTTTGTCTCTGTTCGATCGTGTACCTTATTGATACCTTAACAGCGTCTATTTACGCACATTCACGGTTGTGTTGAGCATTCATGGCAAATATCGCTGGAATATCGTAGTCGTTAACCGCCAAATCGTGTAATCGAAACACTTTCGCGCAATGATTTTTTTTAAGTAATGTACATTCATACGTCATTACAAGGGGAGTACTTTTCCCATTCACGTTCAATGATTCACGAAAAAAGTTATGCGTCCGTAACGCTCTCTGACCGTCGTTCTGCGTTTATATAATTTTATTGTGTACCTTTACTAAACGAAGCTGTTGCATCCTAATACGATATTTACCCAACAATGAGAAAATAATCTTACAACGGAATAATTCGACTTGTAATTATTATTTTATTAAGGTACTGTACTTTCCTCCTTTATGTAACAAAGAATCTTTGTATTTATTTATGATTGCTTAGATCAAGCAGACTTCTGCAAACTTGATGATTCATTCACCCTATACACCAATTACTTGCAATTGTTATCTCTGATTTGGGCATCCGGTATATATATGAACTCGATTGTCAAGGCATCTACCGATTCATAACTGCATATTTTAATACCACCTTTGTACAATATTTTGACAACGAAAACATTTATCACATAGGATTAGTAAGGAATACCTTGTAACTCTTAATATAATTTATTAATAAGATTACCAATGAAAAAGGGTTTCTTTTGCTTTTAGTTCACAATGGCATCTCGTAAGAAACTGTTGCTGAAGGTTGTTATTCTGGGAGATTCAGGAGTTGGTAAAACTTCCCTGATGAATCAATACGTAAACAAAAAATTTAGCAATCAGTATAAAGCTACAATTGGAGCAGATTTTCTTACCAAAGAAGTTATGGTAGATGATAGGATAGTGACAATGCAGGTGAATATATGTTCCCTATGTCAAATATAAAAAAACAAAATGTTGAATATTGTAGATATTTTTTTAAAAACAATGATATTATTATCTTGTGTATGTCTTATGATTAATTTATCTTTTATTTTGTTTACATTTCTTCAGATTTGGGATACAGCAGGCCAAGAAAGATTTCAGTCTCTTGGTGTGGCATTTTACAGAGGTGCGGATTGCTGTGTACTTGTGTTCGACGTCTCTGCCCCAACCAGCTTCAAATCTCTAGACTCGTGGAGAGATGAATTTTTAATTCAGGCTTCCCCTCGGGATCCAGACAACTTCCCGTTCGTTGTACTTGGGAATAAAGTTGATTTGGAATCCAGAGCGGTAAGAATATTTTCGAACTACATTAATTTTTAATCTATCTCGTATTAATATTCATTTCTATTCATTTCAGGTTTCTAGTAAGAGAGCACAACAATGGTGTCAATCTAAGAATAATATTCCATACTTTGAAACTAGTGCTAAAGAGGCCATTAATGTTGAACAAGCCTTTCAAACGATAGCAAAGAATGCTTTAGCTCAGGAAGGTGAAGTAAGTCATCTATAATTACTTTTATCATTTTACATAATCCATTTCTTGTATATATTAAATAACATATGTACATACTGTTATTTCAGGTGGAATTGTATAACGAATTCCCTGACCAAATTAAGTTGACCAATGACCAAAGAAACAATGGCAAAGGTGATTCTTGTGCCTGCTAGGTTTTGGAGCAATGTAAACTTTGGACAAGCACCTAGATGTACAGGTCAGATCGTACATACGCGTACCTGCACATTTTGAAAATACTACAGCGAGTTTGATATGTTCTGGAAGTCACGGGTATGCTCCTTGGTTTTCTTTTAGATTTCATTTAAAATAATTGAATATATGAATACTATTTGGATGTTCTTAACGAATTATACGAACATATTTCGAATCTAAGAATTATTTAAATAATCTAAAACTGATACCATGGAGCATTCGTTTGACTTCCTCACATAGGAGACTGTGTTATATTTCATATTGTGTGTTTGTGCTATACTTGACTTTCCAAATTAATGGTTGGCTAGTTGAGCATTCAACACATTATTTCTGAATATTGTAATGCTCTCTTATTGGGTATGGCGAACAGTATGTGAACTGCCCTTTTTAATTGCATCTTTACAACTCACTGTTGATGTCCTTCGTTGTGGAGTGATACTATGATGTTTTCATACCACTGTAGACATACCTTTTATGTTGAAAGAAAAATTTACTTGGTCGGAAACACATAGCGTAACAATTAGATCATCGCAAAAGTTTGCTCATGATTTATTAAGTACAATCGCATTTACGGAGGAGCTCTAGAAAGTAATTAAGATTTGTGGGTAGATACATTACACCATCTTTCTGATGTTGCTTTTCGTCAATTGGAAATGAAAATCGTTTACGTTAATGGATTATTATATATAATTAAATTTCTAAAACTTACGTTGCAGTTGTTCAACTCCTTCTGAACTTATTTCACAACGCAAACCTTGTTGATCGTAGTATCGCCCGAGATATACTAATGAATTTTAAAAAAAAAAAACTTGTACAGTGATCGCATTTGTTTGAAAAACAATAGATTTGTTTAACAACATAACAACATTACAATATTTGTCGTGAAGTGTCACGGCTGGTTTTATCTCAAAAGGCTAGTGCGTTTTCGAGGAGAAAATCCCCTTTTTAAAAACAACTCAGTAGTTGGATAATTTGTAATTTGGTGTTTCCAATACGCCCACGACATTTGTATATTAGTATTTTCATATATTCTTAAATTCTACTCAGAGGTGAGAGTCTCGAGCCGCGATGCACGAGTTTCCAAACGTTTTGATTCCGTGTAGTTTATCTTGGTGTGATTTAAAGTTGCTAAAAAAAAACGTTTTTTTTATTAAACATATCAAGCAATATCTGTGAAAGCTATTTGGTGATTCTCTTCTAAAAACTACACGTTTTTGTCTACTTACACTTAGTATTATAGTATAAGTCATATAAACACAATTGTTAAGTTAATTTGAAGAACAAAAAGTTTTCAGTATCACTTTTTAATAGTTTCATTCGCCTCGAAAATAAAACATTTTGCGATGAAAAATGTTTAATTGTATCACGAGTAATACGCCCCACCGAATCAATGAATTTAGAAATGAGAATGACGAAGTTGTTAAAAACAATACTATCAATTTGTCGTGGAAATTATGCGTCGCGGTGCTGATGATCACTTCCATATTCAAAATTATAATTTTAGATCAATCTCAATTCTGAAAATAGAGCAACAGATTGCGTGAGCCGGAACGATACATACCTATAAGATTTCTTATGAAAAAAAAAAAGTTCATTGCGTGTAATATACGCGTATACTTACGATCGTGCAGAGTTTTTGAAAGCTGTAATTTGCGTTGATCATACGTGTACGCGTGTGTGCGTAATATATATGTATATAAATGATGATGATCATGACGATTATAACTATAATTATTAATATAATTTTATCGAAATATGTTAACGATAGATATTATAAATATTATCATTATTGCTGCTGCTGCTGCTGCTATAAAACTACTATTGCTACTCTTAGTTTTAAGTGAAGTAAAAGAAAAAAAAGTCAAGAAATACATTTATTGCAGAAAAAGTACGATTTGGTCGAGTTAATTCGCTGATGCGGTTCACGTCACGGATAATAATCACGTGACCTGAAACAAACAAAAAATATAAGACTATCCCTATTGTGGTTCGATGTCTATATTGTTATCGAAATGAGTGTCTGTTAAGTTAGGTAGCAAATCTAGCAAACCTTGTATGAAGTAGCGTGTAAGACTAAAATATAACTGAATAGCACCAATTTAGCAAATGTGACAGATAGTATAGAAAATAGTTTTTTTCCAATTATAAAGGTAATCTCGTAATACAGTATGGTTTTATCTATGAGTTTTCAATATGTTGTTATGTTCTAATCAATATGTAAATTGAATACTTACCCTTGTACGAATGTAAGAAAATATTCGTTTTTACACAAAGCAGTTTTATCGCTTTTTTGAACCGACTATTTATTTCAATGGAGTCCAAACAAAAAAAAAAGAATTTATACATGATATACGTATGTATACATATATAAATATATGTGAGTATTGAACTAAAAATACCTATATACAAGTATGTAGATTATATAATGCGTATATAATATTTTATATTAATGTCATGTATGATATCACACGGCCTTTGTTAAGTTTTAAACAAATTTTTACGATTAATGTCAAATACATACATATAAATACACACGCCTTTATAGAGAATAAATTACGTTCGTTTACAGATAAAATATAATAAGAATTGGAGACATCTATGATCGGTAATTATAAAAGATGTGTTGTTCTTTTAATCGTCTGTATCAGGTAAAAGCATTACGTTAGAATAGTATATTCACTTTCAAATTCAGGATAGAACACAATAATATTGTTCAAAACTTTCTGATACGATAATTTATTTACAAAAATGACCATCTTAGACTAGAAATATAGGGTCCAGATATATCAGAACCCGGAGTGAAGCCATGTTCGCCATATTAGGTTGCCATTACGAATTCGTAAGACTGCTAGACATCTGTATAGAGACTATAATCTGTGGCTAAACGCGCATCCCCGATTTCCGCCAAGAACCTTATTCATTTATTGTTAGAAGCAGTTTCCAGAGTAATCACAAGCAAAAGTTACTGTATTCGTGAAAAAGCAGTTATTTTTTGAAAATGCATACGTGTCCCGTTAAATATTCCCATTTTCATTCTGAAAACGAACGTGCAGCAGTTGGTAATTATAAAAATATAACATTCCACAGGTAAGTGGATAAGACAACAATTAAATATTTTATTATTTTGTTTTGTTTTGTTTTGTTTAGATATTCAAAGTGTTTAAATTCTAAAAATTTATTTCTACACATATAACTATACTTTTAACTATAGTCTTATTTAAACTTCCCGCTGTAAATTGGCAACGTAAGATGGCCGACGTGTCTCCCCCCCTTGGTTTCATACCGCACCACGTCCTTAGTATACAGGGTGTCCCAAAAATTTTGGGGGTCCTTGAAAAGGGTGGTTCGGGAGGTGATTTGAAACAACATTTTCCTTAGCGAAAATGTTGTCTGAGGCTTTGTTAAGGAGATATTAACAAAAAAACCCGACCAATCAGAGCGCGCGTATACCGTTGAAGCGAGCGGGGTAGCGAAGGCTACGCGCTCTGATTGGTCGGGCTTTTCTGTTAATATCTCCTTAACGAAGCCTCGGACAACATTTTTGCTAAGGAAAAAGTTGTTTCAAATCACCTCCCGAACCACCCTTTCAAGGTGTTACAACATTTTTGGGACACCCTGCAGGGATAGATACTGGTATAGGACTATACAGGGTGTCCCAAAAATGTTGTAACTCCTTGAAAGGAATGGCCAGTCTATGCCCAGTCTCTATATTCTTGTGTCCGTGCCCGATCCCTATATTCCTATGTGTTCCCTATGTTCGTGGATAGTGGACAGTCGAGATAAAAACCTTCGTGTGCTTGTTTTCAGTATGAAGAGCATAAAGTATTTGCGTGGTTTCCTATCTATATGAAATGCCTATTCAGTGCGAAGGAGGCATTCTGATCCTTCGTGGCAGAGGATGTTTTTATTCTTTAATATTCGTGATAATATCGTCAATTTCTTGACTCGACAACCGTTTACTTCTTCCGCGCGATCAACTTGTTAAATGTGATCGTCAGTCATGGACATACGCGGTGTAGAAGTTACAAATCAGTTGCGAGTAAGTAGAAGATTCGCACTTCTAACTGGCCATCCTAAATTTTTCTGAACATCTAGTCTTGTTTAATAGCTTCGAATTTATTATATCGTAGGATTATCAATAACTTTTGTTTTAACGTTCTTGCAATCGTTCCTTGTCGGTTTCAGACAACATTTATAATACTCCTGCAAGCTATTTTATTTCAGATTAAAAAGGTACAGTCGATGGTATGATTATAGTGATTTCAAAGAAACTTCAATGTGTCAACAATGTTGGACAACATTTCTAATTCGAAAGGCTTCTTTTGTGCACCTGAACTTTAAGGTTTTGCCTGCTCCAAAAAGCAATATCAATGCATTGTGGTCCACAGAATGCATTGCAAAGGACTTGTATTTCACTTTCAATGAGGATGTTAGTTTACAGTCCTCTTGAAACTTAATAAAATCACTATATCTGTACAATCAATTGTAACATCTTATTCAGGTTTACTCCATTTTATTTTGTCCAATCTCTAATCACGCTTGTTATTATTCTCTTTCAGAGCGCCATTCGTGCTAAACTGCTAGAATTAGGAGTACGATACGATGAAGAGTTGCCAGATTATATTTTAGTAATGGTTGTAAATAAAAAGTCTCGTCAACAAATGCATGATGATCTGAACCTCTTTTTGGAGAGCTGTACAACGCCATTTGTCGATTGGTTACATGACCAAGTGTTGAAGAAGTTGCAGAAGGTTACCGTAGCAAAAAAGAAATCATTAAGAGAATTTGTGCCTACAGTTGTTGTTAAGCAGGAGGAAGAAAGGAAAAAGAAAAAATCATCGACAACCTCTTTCTTGGAAGATCAGCTCGTCACCCCAGCCACAGATAAGTCTTCCAATAAAACAATAAAGGATGACAAGTCAGTCAACAAACAAAGCGCAAAACCATCCGTATCTAGTCAGAAGTTGGATACACTTCAAAATAAAGCTATAGATAAGCCTGTGAAGAGTGTGAGTCACGAAGAGAAAGTGGATGCCGGAGTAAACAGTACCATTCTTCCACAGCCTGTGGTAAAGAAGATACAATCAAATGATAATCAGAATGGAAACACGCATAAAGTAATAAGCATCATTGAAACCTCTAGTATCAAGTCTGGAGATCCTGATATCGAGTCAAAGGTGGATGATGCATCATCCAGGAATTTAAAAAGGCCGTTAGATATGTCCATTAATTATCGCGATACTTTAGAGAAGAAACTAATTGAAACAAAGCGATCAAAGGTCGAAGAGGATGCTGAAACTACAACAGAGGACAACACAAAGAAATTGAAGTCCTGTATCAACAAACCAAAAGTTACTTCTGTTGTGTCCGTTAAAAATCGCCTCGGTATAGCGTCTCCCAGAAAGAAATTCGAAATTCACAGGGAGAAAATAGATAACGAAAGTCGGTACAGACAGAATGAGAAGCGCGTTGAGAAGCATCGATTCGATACCAACCGCAACAATAACTTCCAAAGAGGAAGGAACTTCGATGCAGACGATCGTGCGAAGAGGAGTCGTGAAATCGAATTAAAACACAATGACTCGGACAAAGCTAGCGATATCAAGATTCGACTGTGTAATTCTAAAGTCGAGAAAGTACCTAAAAGTATAGAGTTAAGGGAGAAAGTGACTACAAATTTAAAGTCGAAACTAATAGAGAAAACAACGGGTACGATTAAAGATCGTTTAGGTATCGCGAGTTTCAATAAGGTGCAGAAACAATTAGGAAGTAAAGAACCGGCAGACTTCAAGAGCAAACTTCTAGATCAAGATCGCGATATTTTAAGTAACAATAAAAATATAAAGAATAGATTGGAACCATTCAGAAATAATTTTAAGCCGGTAAGCGTTAAAGGTGGTTTCAATTCGACGATTAGGCGTTCCCAGAGTAGCGAGGACGAGGACTACCTTAATCTAGGTGCGGAAGAAGAATTAGACGAGGTTGAGCAGTCCGCGGGGAACTCTGGGCCTATCAAATCCCGCATAATAGCTGTAAATAAATCTATACCAATGAAGACTGAAAGAAAACGATTAAAATCGTTGGAGAAAACTAGCAAGGAATCCAGCGATACGGAAGATATTGAAGACACCAAGATACCCAGTAAAGTAATTGTAACGCCGAGACCTTTGAAGCCGTTACAACCCGCACAGAAACGTGCTACACAATCGCTGTTATTGAGAGCCGTTGCAGAAGCTAATCAATCTGTCGTCACACAAAAAAATCCAGAACCATGTTTATTGGTATGCATAATGTGATTTGATTACTTAAAAGTTTGATAGAAAATGTATCTTTTATTTTCATTAAACGCCTATTTCCTTAGGATAAGAAGCAAACATTGAAACGCCTTAAGCCTGGTCCCGTTCGAGACGTAGGCCAAAATTTATCGGTACACCTTAATTCCAACAAGAGATTGGTCATGGAGAAGATTCAAGTTGAATTAAACACGGATGTGTCCGAGACTAAATCGAAGTCTTGTAAGTACGTTTTCAAGACACAGGCAGACATATATAATACCTAGGTTTTTATATAGATTACAATGTTGATTTAATTTTGTTGATCGTGGTGTATTTTTTTGAAATTTGTTAATAAATACTACATAAACCGATACGTTTTGTTTACAATTGTATACATTTTAAAAAACCACATGGCCATGCAAGATTCATTCACATTATATATACTTTAAAAGAACACTGGTTGGAGGTACAAATTCGCAAAATAATGTTTTCACGATCCCTCATTTCATTTTAATAGCTTATATCATATATTATTTAATAGCGTAATATCACATATTATTCTAAAGTACTTGTACGAGTTATGAAAAGGGACCAAATTTAGAGGGATACTTGTAAAGACTGATACATAGATTTCATAAAAAATAAAACAATAGAATTATACATATATATATAACAATTCAAATAATTAAAGTTGAAATAAAAATGTTTCCATAAGACATTCAATATTATGTGGTTTACAGACATACATCAGTCAGTTACAGAAGAACACATGGGGGTTGTAATGTCTTTGTTCCAAAGGAGCGACGACAACCAGAAGTTTCTGGTCACTTTGAACGGATACAACAATAATCTCGCAAAGGAGAAAACTGCGTCCGACGACGAGGAACGATTAGAAATGGAGGTAGTTAACAAGAACAATAGCTCTTAATACTTTTCTATTAAACTCATTCCGATGCACATTTCTTGACTTTCTTTACCAATTCATTGAGTTAACGTCTGAATCGTATTTGAAGGTAAATGAAGACGATGAACTTGTGCTTTTAACACCACAAAATGACGTATATACTCAGAATGAGTCAGAAACATCTGTTTTTCAAGTAACCGAAGTGGAAGATGAGGAGGACGCGAGTGGAAAAGAAAGAGCTGAAGAGAATAACGAAAATTGTAACACCGAGAATGTCGAGAAGATTACTGAGGAAGTACCGAGAAAGAGAAGAAAATTAAGTCCTATAGTGTATAATAGATCTCACTCGCCCAGTCCTGCAGTTTTGAAATCCAGCACCTTACCAACGACTCCAATATTAACCAAACGTGAGTAACCTAATTGTAAATCGTTTATTAAATGTCCATTAAAAGAAAATTCCTTCTAACCTTTTTTCTTGCTCTTTCAGGTTTAGAAAAGAAGTCATTAACCGAAAATGCAGTGACAGTTATAGACAAGTCGAAAGAAAAATGTAGATACTGGCCCAACTGTACGTTGGGAAATAAGTGCGCATATCTTCACCCTCTCGTTATGTGCAGGTTATTTCTTTTTTTCGATAGCTTTAAGGGGCCTGCCTAGTAAAGTAAACGAATATCTTTTAATCTTTGAAATAGACAGTCTCCTTAAATTGGCTTACCATGTATAGGCGGTCATTTAATTATTTTCTTTTCATTACAGTGCATTCCCAGCGTGTAAATTCGGAAGCAAGTGCGCTTACAGACATCCTAAATGCAAATTCGGCTTATCATGCACAAAGTTGGGATGCGTATTCTCTCATCCCGCGCAACAGTGCAAGTATCATCCTTTCTGCACTAAACCTGCTTGCCCTTATTCGCATCCGCCCCCGGTAGCCACGGAAGCGTCAAGTCAAAGAGCGAAATTCACGTGGCGCAGACGAGATTGAACTCTAACATTGTACAGATATACAAATTCCCTTTCTCTCTAGCGATATGTCAATCCAATACGTTGGACAGGGATACCGTCACAACCTGAACATTCCAGTGAAACGAAATTTGAATGGTTACGACCAGATTACCCACTGAGGTAGCTTTTCATAATTTATTTCTAGGACGGGCCTGTAATTTTGTTACAAAATGTTTCATGAAGTTACATATCTGCCCTTGAAATAAATTCTCTAAAGCTATTTCATTCCTCAGGTCGTTACGGTGTCGTAATCCTTTCAAAGTAGAAATAAGATTTATAACTGAAGCGAACTATATCGATAGATCGTTACTGCCAATTACATACTTGAAAACTTTCACTTTGCACTTAGGAATCTAATCAATTTAATTTAGAGACTTTTGAGTTATCCCACGCTTTGCATCGCATCACCGTGGAGTGTTTCACAATAGAATAAATAGCAACATCAGGATGACAGTACACAGTAAGTTTCCTTTGTCTGTGTGTAAGCATTTCTACTAACGATTACTTTTAAAAATGGTTTGTGATAGTACCCCTGTCTACACGGAAGGTGACGCTCTAGTTTGTACAGACCAACGGGTGTACTCGTGATCATAAACTTTGGAGGAATTCTCGACATTCGATTTTCTCTTAAACTGTATTATATATCGTGCATTGGTACACGCGAACGGTCGTGTACCGATCTCGAGACACGGTTTGCATTTGTTGAATAACGATCAACATTAGCACTCTAGCTTTATCTTTTACTATTCTTCAAAGTCCAGTTCAATGGATTGCGAATTCTATTCGTTTCACTCGGTGTAAACATTTAATGAAATGATATTCGACGTTAACGCGCTTTTGACAAATAATACAATGATTTGTCGAAAGAATAAGACATATATTCTTCATTTATTCTCACCTTTTTTTTGGTGAAAGACAGGTACTCTTCGCATCGAGCCAGACACAGACTATCTTGCACAATAAAAAGATTTAAAAAATCAAATGAAACTCTCGTGCATTCGAAATTATTACGAGCTCTATTTATTACTTGATGGCTGTGCAATAATCATCGTAATGATTTCATTTTTAACGGGAAAAATTGCATGGACGATGGGCTAAAGAGAACCATAATAGCGTACATTTCTTTTAATGTATAATTTATGTTTATTGCGCGTACAGAGGAGGACAAAATTCGATTTGAATAAATTTATATTAATTTATATTGTTTATTCAACTGAACAGTGAAATTTTTTAGTTCATTGTGAAATGTCAAATTGAAATTGTAATTTTTATTTAATGGATAACGGATTGCATAATTTATTTTGCATTTTTTATTGGACATTTTGATCCAGACAAGAATTTTTCTCATCTCTGTGGACGCGAAAAGAAGAAACTATAGGTACACAGATTGTATCTATAAAATTTACATAATTTAGTCTGTTTGATTATCTACGCCGCAGCCCGTATCAAATGCCGATTACTTTGTAATCTATTATACAATTTCCCATTTAATTGTTTCTATTCGTTCTCGTTTATGTGAACAAAATGCTTCCTACCTTTGATCTATAAACTAAATACGACTTTGAACGAAAGACGAAAGGGTGGGCCATGTGTTTTGATTCACATTAAATTCAAACATTAATGTAACCAGAGAAATGGAGATTATCGTACGATGCGAAGACCATTGTATCAAAAAGATTAATATAATGTATATTATACATTAGTAATTATGTATTATGATTTATTATGTACTAAATATATGAATATATTATGTGCAATTTTTTTTTATTTTCGCTTCTGTTTAAAAGATTAGAATGAATTTGCAACATGATTTAATTTAATACAATTTTATATTGAAAGTATCGTAAATACATTCATACGAATAAAATGAATTAATTTAGTTAAGAAAATTATACAAAAATAATATCAGAAGAAACTTGTGGGCCACCCTAGTATGATCACTTGTACTTCTTTGAAATCGATGAAATTTTTTTAATTATGTATTTAATTTTGTACCGACGATACTTGTAAAATAGTAGCTAACAGCAACTTCGTTTTCACGTTAATCGTACACACGGTAGAATTGTTTGTAAGAATCAGTTTCACGCTCTAATTCAATTGTAAGTTTGCACCGCGTCAGGATTGTTGTATACGCGTGTACGTAGACGATTTGCCACGATAAACTTGTATTTATAACGCATACACGTGTCCAACTACCGTGCCCGCTTTATGCTCTTGCCAAACGGCCTTCCCTTACCTGTGCAACAATAGCTGACCTATATTATTGTCGCAGGTCTTTCAGGTACACGATTAGCTTCCGGGATATCCTAATGAAAGGGTGCCCAGGAAATAGAAAAATAATCTATGCAAGACTGTGCACGTTCAGAAAATCTTTATTTGCCTCGATCACAGCTTGAACCCGAGCCTTGAACTTTGCATACTTGAGTAAGAGCATTTTTATTGTCTCTGTAATCAGTTGGGAAGACTGTATATAATTTATACAATTATTAGCCTTTCGAGAGCATACATTTAATTAAGCTTCGACGCTGAGATGTGCAAAATTCTTATCTAGACAAAAATGATTAATGATAAGTAAACAGTAACTGCAAGTTACTCTTTGCATTGGAATTAAAATCTGAATTTTTATGTAATGAAAATTGAACTGTTTTGTGCAACTGTTTAATTTATTATACAATGATTTTTATTTTATAAATTGTTACATGATACAAAGTTTTGTTCATCTCTGCCTCGAGGAAGGCTTTGAATACAAAAATGTAATTCTGTATCTGAAGGTGATGTTGAAAACTGTAGGACAGAGGTTTAATCTCATTCTTGAGATTCATAAAGAAATTTGAATTCGTTTATGATCATTTGATTCATTCTCAACGCACTCGTATCCTAAGCAGTGATGTAAGAATGATTGGAGCTGTTTAAACAGGGATTTCTGTGCACGTATCAGTAGCTATTTTCACGTAATAGCGAGCGTTACTTATTCTTCAGCTTACAGTATTATTTTCATACGGTGACGCGGCGAGTTTATAGACTTCTGCACTGAGAACAATCTTTGTACAAATAACGTGAATCATGGAGAGGCTCAGAGACCTTCCAGGGTAAACGATCTATGAAAATAAGTAAGAGAAAGAAACAACGCAGAGGAACTTCTCTAAGAAAAACTAAAACCTCTTTGGCTTTATTTCCGATTGTCTAGTCTTTAAGCAATTAGATGTTCTAAGTTATCAATTCTTGCCCCCTAATTTTAATACATACGTATGTGTAAACCTCTAGTTGAAACATGTTCTCGCCAATATGCATATACATTTTTCTTTTTGTACTTTTTGAAGTACCAGTATCTGTATAAATGTAAACAGTAGATATTAAAACCGTCGGCTTCATACATCACATATTGGAATAATAGCAATTAAAAGGTTACTTCCTGAACAATATGATGTAAATTTCAAGTGAGAATTATTATTTCCTTTTTACATTAAGGAGTGGAGTATTCTTCAAAATAAAAGGTAGAGAAAAAAAAACTGACGAAAATATTCAATCATTGTGAAGAATTCACCATCGTCCAATCGCCAATTTTTTGTTAATACTTTTATATATGCTATCTATACAAATAAGAATATTAGATACTACAAACTGTGCTTCGTGTACCGATTGCATGATATTGACTTCAATTAATCAATTTCAAGAGAGTAAGAAATTAAATTATTATTTTCTTCTCGACATTACTAAAATTCGAAATTCTTCCAAGTTTCTGTAGTAGTATTATAAACAAAACAAAACAAAAAAATAGACAAATAGGATTGAATCGTCATCGAGCATCTACAGTGTATCCCATAAAATACAAATCAGTAGAAATTGCTCCAAAGAAGAGGAAAAATTAGCATAATCATCTAGCGACCGAAAACGATTAAATAACCATAACGAATCGATAACATGTTCCGTAAGGAAATTTCTGAAAATCCCCCGTCGTTGCGTATCCTCTGGAGCTTATCTTATCTCACGAATTGACACGGTGCCTCTCGCCAGAGCTCTCCGTTGTTCACTTCAGTTTTCTTCTTGGGGCTCGTGCGGCTCGACAATAATTCATTTGTGAAACTATGTTAAATAACCAAAAATTACGACGAAGAGGAAAAAGGAAAGATACATAGTTACATCTCTTCATCGAGGAGAGAGGGATCAGAGATTTGTGCACGTTATTCAGATCGTTCTAACGTCGATAAAACATTTGATTACATTCTGAAGTACGTGACTTCATCTCCCTAGAGCCTTCTCGCTGCAGGATTCTGGTATTATCTGGCGTCCTCCTCCCAAAGAGGGTGAGTGTTTTGCTAAGAAACAATTGCAAGATCCCCTTAAACCTCCTGACGTGGGGAAATGATTGTGATTACTAGACTGCGGATCTTTATGCAAAAATTGAACCTAACTAGGAATTTATTTTATTCTGCAAATATTATAACATGAACTTTACTTTCAATCCTTTTTATATTATTGCATATTGTTTGCATTTTGTAGGTTCTTGCACATTCAAATTTCCTATAAATGCATAAAAATCGGCAGTCTAATGATTACTCATCCAATGCGAGCATAATTATTTGAGGAAGAGTATACAGTGGGTGTAGAAAGTATTCGAACACCGATCAATTTCTAAAAAAAACTATGTAAAATTGTAATTTATTAACTTACTTTTTATAAACAATGATGTTCTGCATATTTTCGGAAATCTGTAGAATAGATAGAATTCAAAAAAATAGCTATTTATGTACTGTTGCGAAATTAACAAGAAAAAAATAATTAATCGATAGAAATATTGAAGCAATAAGTATTCGCACAACTGTTTAATTTTTAAAACATCATTAAGAAAAAAAGAAATTTCCATTAATTTCTAAGTATATAATACTTCCTTCGCGGGATAAGCATTAAATTAACTAAATTATTAGTTAGAAGTTAATAAGAAGTGAGATCTTCTTCCATTCTTCTATTAGAGCCTTCTTTAAAAGTACTTTCCTGGAAATTTGAGGTTTTCTAATCCGTACGGAGCAATAAATTAATGTGTTTACGTTACAAACTCTACTAAAAATGGTTCGTCATAAGAATCGTACAAAAACTTATTGCTTCTATACTTTTACCCACTTTTCGCATCTTTTTGGTAATTTCACAAATTATATTAACTAGTAAATGTTGCTTGGACTATATCTATCTTAGAGATTTCCGAGAATACGTAAAATATCATTGATTATAAAAAAACATGTTAAGACACTACAATTACACAAATTCTACACCCACTGTAGTAATATTTATAATTTTTTGCTGTTAAGCGTGTCTTTTGGAAAGATTATTGGAAAGTTTAGATTCTTTTCGTGGGTATAAATAGAATTACATTTTTTCTATAGTCGTATTTGTATTTGCTTTCTAGAATATTGTTTATGACGAATATATTTATTTTCTAAAATATTATATGTATATGTTAGTGTGTATTGTTTCAGTAATATTAATTGTATAAATATTAGCTTATAGGAAAGCGTACTATCGTTACCAAAAATAACATACACTATTGATTTATATTAATATGAGGCTACAGAATATTAATATAAATATTACCTGAGATAATTGTGATGAATATGCTATTACTAAAAAGAACATACAATCTTTATTGGCTTACGAAGGTAATACTACAAAAAACAAATGCGTGCTCCTATTATGAAAATAAACTTACCACTTCTACTGACTTGTAGATCATAAATATCAAAAAGGAAGTGCTCATTTGTAAAATCTATAATTATTGACCTACAGAGGTATCATAACATAAACAAACTACTACAATATTTACTTCCCACCGTATATCACAAAAACGAATGTTTTTATTACTTCTAAGAAATGTGTACATCCACTATCAAATTAAATCTGTACTATGTTCCCATTATCAAGCATTTAAACAAGATGTAATCCCATGTCTGTTGTCGATTAATCAGTAACCATGATTAACGAATAATCGGAAACGATTATCTATAAAAGATTACAAGCCCACCGATGTACGACAGCAGATTACAAATGTAGTTCCAGCTAATGTATTTTTCTAATGCATATAATTTCCAGATATAATTAATTTTTGTTATTTAAACTTTTTTTACATATAAAGGGACGTTCAAAGAAGAAAATTTGACAGTGTAGATTTAATTTGAATGTATACATACGATAGATATAGTAGTCGCAGGGAAAGGATTCGGTCAAAACGGTGGGATGCATAGCTCATCGAATTTTTATCCGATTCGCTTGATTCAACGCTTAAATTGAAGGTAATTAAGTTTATATGCTAATGAACCTCGACTCTCAATGAATTATTATTATAGCATAAAGTTATTGCAAAATAACGGCCGTCATGTATCGTTCATTTTCATGTTTTTTGGCGCCGTTTTTGCAATTAACAATTTTTTTTTGCAAATTGAGGTTCATACGCATTTTACGTATCTACTAAAGAAACAAATTTTCTGATTTTATCTATCAGATGTTTTCCCAGGGCTTCACGTATCCCACCGTTTTCACCGAATCCTTTCCTTGCGATTACTATATCTATGTATACAGGGTGTCGCATTATAATCTTTTCACGCGATTATCTCGCAAAATATTCATCATTCGAAAAAAATGTTTAAACGAAACATGCTCTAGCTGAAGGGGGACATTCAATGGTACACTGTTTTTTTCTAGATGGAGGCGCCTCCGAGAATTGAAGGTCACCTTCGTTTTTTTAAATGGAAACAACGACTCTAAACGAATTCATTGATCTATATTATGTTGACCTTGAAATGTCATTCAAGGTCATTTCCATGGCTTAAAGTTTTCCTCTTCACTGGACGTCCAGCGTATCATAATGTACGGTGTCAAGAATCCTTCGACGACATCATTTTCACCCGTATCACATTTCTTTACATCAAGCATTATGTGATCCTGATTATGGTGCCAGATTGAGATTTTGTCAATGGTCTCAGCGTAGGATAATGCGCGATCCTTTATTTTTCTCCTATGTGCTATTTTCGAATGAAGCAACTTTCAAAAACACGGGAGAAATGAATCGTCACAATTTCTACTATTGGTGTGATGAAAACCCTCACTGGCATCGAGCAATTGAACATCAGCGTCAATGGTCTCTAAATGTTTGGTGTGGCATTATTGGTGGCTATTAAGTGGATCCATATTTTTTTAATGGTACACTAACTGGAGAACAAGACAATAATTTTCTTCGTAATGAGTTGCAAATCCTTTTAGAAGACATTACACTGGCCACCAGAAGAAGAAAACTTTAAGCCATGGAAATGACCTTGAATGGCTTTTCAAGGTCAACATAACATGTTTAGCGTGAACAAAAACTACGTTTCCATTTAAAAAAGCAAAGGTGACCTTCAAATCTCGGAGGCACCTCCTCCAAGAAAAAAACAGTGTACAGCATTGAATGTCACCCTTCAGATAGAGCATGTTTCGTTTAAACATTTTTTTCGAATGACGAATACTTTGCGAGATAATCGCGTGGAAAGATTATAATGAGACACTCTGTATATGTATGTATACATTCAAATTAAATCTACACTGTCAAATTTTCTTCCTTGGACGTCCCTTTATGTATATGTAAAAAAAGTTTCAGTAACAAAATTTAATTATATCTGGAAATTATATGCATTAGAAAAATACATTAGCTGGACCAGACTCCCCCCTTAATCTGGCAGTTGCGAAGGATGATCGGAATAGTAATCATTCGATTCCGTTATGAATAGCCAATTTGTTAAATTCAATTAGGTCTAACTAGTGGGAGAATTGGAGCAATAGGGGTAATAAACAGGGGTAAGGGAGATTCTTAGGAAGCAGTTTTGGGATGTTATTTACAAGTGGTGGACCTTTCTGGCCATAGGTCCTTTCTTACAGGTAGAGTGGAAGGGGAGCGTGGGGGGTGGGGGTGAACTGTGACAAACCCTCCTCTTGAGGGGGTGGTTGTCGCAGATCCTATTAAAGCGGACCCGAAGATTACCTTCATCATTAACGTCTCCAACTCGGAATCGTTACCTTCGAGAAGCAAACGGAAACTTGGCAATTCAATGGGTGTTCATAAAGTTATGGAAAAGAAGAGGCTGGACTGCCCCATGACTTGCAAAACCGAAAACACGGACGAGGTATGTAACCCAGACCTACTTCTTCTTCACGTGGCTGTCTTAATCGAGTTTTAATGCTGGAATCTCGGTTAATTATAGGGTGGAACGTATAGAGGAACGTTTCAAATTTGATTGAAGAATTTATGAATAATATCAATTCGAACATCTTCTCGTGATTCTTTGTTTGTTTCTTTGTTATCGTCCATGAATAATGGAAATTAAATATATTTCTCAAATAACTAAACAAGTTCTATCTCGATTGGACTAATTGTAATACGAATCAGAGGAAAGTAATATTCTTCGCGAGCATAGTTGCAAAGGGAGGAGTTAAAATTTATATCGAAATTAGAAAGCAGAGGAAGTGGAAGAAACTTTTTCCATGCTTCTATTTATTCACATTAAAATCTTCATTTACAGAATGTTTTTATAAATTATATTACTTGTAAAATTCACTTACGAACCGCGATCTTTATGAACATTTTACTGCCTCTGCAGTCTTCCTCGAAAAATGAAAATTACAATGGATGTAGAATGTATTCGTACATTCGATGAATTTCCCAAAAAACTTTTGTGTGAAATTGTAGTTTCTTAACTTCTTTTTTTATAATCAATGATATTCTACATATTCTCGGAAGTCTCTAAGATAGATATAGTCCAAACAACATTTACTAGTTAATATAATTTGTGAAATTACCAAAAAGATGCGAAAAGTGGGTAAAAATATAGAAGCAATAAGTTTTTGTACGATTCTTATGACGAACCATTTTTAGTAGAGTTTGTGTTTATATAAATAGACAATCTAATTTCTTAGATGTTGATGTTGTAACAGTAATGGAGCAAAATGAATTGTACACAATTCAATAATGTAGCATTAGACATAAAATATTGTGTATGTATTACTTATTAATGAAATGGAAGAAACTTTTGGGATAACCTAATACTTTTAAGGAAGATTCCACTTCGAATAACTAATAATTTAGTTAATTTAATGCTTGGAAAAGTTACAATAATTATAATATCAAAAAGAAATCTCACGAAGGAAGTATATTTAAAACTAGACAATACTATATAATACTAAGTTAGAAAATATTAGACCCCTTTACTTCAAATCTTGTACAATAATAGTAATAATAAGTATATATAATATAAGTACATAACGTATAAATCAATGTAAATTTCTTTTTTTTTTAATCAAGTTTTAAAAATTAAACAGTCGTGCGAATACTTATTGCTTCAACATTTCTATCGATTAATTATTTTTTTCTTGTTAATTTCGCAACTTACATAAATAGCTATTTTTTTTGTAATCTATCTATTCTAGAGATTTCCGAGAATATGTAGAATGCCATTGTTTATAAAAAATAAGTTAATAAATTACAATTTTACACAGTTTTTTAGGAAATTGATCAGTGTACGAATTACATTCTGCACCCATTGTAATTTTCATTTTTCGAGGAAGACTGCAGAGGCAGTAAAATGTTCATAAAGATCGTGGTTCGTAAGTGAATTTTACAAGTAATATAATTTATAAAAATATTCTGTAAATGAAGATTTTAATGTGAATAAATAGAAGCATGGAAAAAGTTTCTTCCACTTTCTCTGCTTTCTAATTTCGATATAAATTTTAACTCCTCTCTTTGCAACTATGCTCGCGAAGAACTTTTACTTTACTTTTCTCTGATTCGTATTACAATTAGTCCAATCTAAATAAATAAATATCGGGAGTTACAGTAAAATGATTCTTTAAATTGGGAACCACCCGACATTAAATTCTTCGCGAACATTATTGCAAAGGGAACAGAAGGCTAATCTTGAGTAGCTACTAATTTCCTTTGTTCGATTTTCAGGGCTACCTGGAGGCCGCCGCCGAGATCCCAGAGTGTCGAGAGTCGATCAATCTGGACACCGACTACAGAGATTTCCCAGAGGAGAAAATTTGGAGTCCTAGCGACGAGGTGAACCAATGGATTCCGTTCTACGTCTTCATGGCTCGCTCCGTTCTGACGTTCGTTCAAGAGAATCTCGGTATACCCAATCGGGAGGCCATGGAGAATTCCTGCACGGGTTACGCGGAACAATATATCACAGATATTCTCCACGACTCCGAATATATGCCGGAAGTCGCCCTGAAGACCCTCCTCACGAAAGAATTACCTCGCAGGCTGTTCTCAAGATGGACCAGCGACGAAACGGTGTGTTTCACACTTAAATTTCTCCAGATAAAATAAATCTAAACGCTTTCTGGAATCTGTAAAATTTGTAAAACAGATTTGAGGAACCTTTCTCATGTTTCCATAATGTTAGTTGCCAATATGGTTTCTTGCAAGGGGTGATCTAGGTCTAGAGAGCACTGTTAGCTTCTTTGTTAATTAAAGCTAGAAAATATTAGACCCCCTTTACTTCGAATCTTATACATTAATGGTAATAATAATAATAATTTAAGGCGCTTTTCTCATGTCTCAATAATGTTAGTTGCCAAGATGGCTTCTTGCAAGGGGTGATTTAGGTCTAGAGAGCTTAGTTTCTTTGTCAATTAAAACCAAAAAGTGTCAGGTATTTCAAGTATCAGACCTATCTATTTCAAATTTTATACAATAATATGATTTATGTATTTCTACAGTGCATTAATATGTAATGGTACTTTGTGCTTCAGGAACTCTTCATTCAGGGGATTGTCAGGCATGGAAAGAATTTTGCGAATATACAGAGAGATCTACTGCCTCGGAGGGACATGGTACGTTTCTAAATTACAATTATTTTTCATATATTTTTCTTTCTCTAATTCCTTCAATAGCCTATCAAATAGTAAATCGGTATATTACTAAAATCTTAAACACCATTAACCGCAATTCCTTTTATTCTTCTTTTATAATTTACATTTCACTCTACCAATTCAAATTGATCATTACACAACCATCATTGCGAACCTCTTGCAATGCTTCAAGTTTATTCACAATTTCATTTTAGCCTTTCATGTTGCTCTTATTGTTCTGTCTTTTTCTTTATTGTACCTTTCTATTGTTAAATTTCACAGAAGGACATCGTAGACTTTTACTACTCGTGGAAATGGTCGGATTCTGGAAAGGAACTGAGAGTCTGTCGTCGCCAACGTCGTCCAAGAATGACGCACAACTTTCCGTCAATCAGTTGTATATTTGGAGAGCTGTCGTCCCCGAAAATTGTCACACGCAGCGTGACAGCCGCTGCTAGGATCCTTTCTCTTCCGAAGAGTAACCAAAGTCAGTTGCTGGTCGTCGCAAGAACCACTAAAAGGACGACCCTAGTCGCGAAGAGGAAGCGAAAGAGCTCGGCAGCGACTCGATGATGGGACTCGTATCTTGACTGATAAGCAGAATCCACTACCACTGATGGGCAGAATTCTTATCGAGATAAACATTTCAAATAACGAGTGACAGATAAACTATTTATCCGCGACTCGTTGAGTAGAAAGTTTAATTTAAATTATAGAGTGGAATATTTCACAATGTACAAATTATAATTTAATTGTTCTCCTCGCGAAGGAGTGGGGAGTGCTGAAAAGCTATGCATAAAAATCCTAGAATTGTTTAACAGTTGTAAAATAATGATAGCGTCGGATTCAGTAATTAAATCATAAGTCGAATTTTTGTAATTGCCATCATGTTTGTAGATATAATTGTAAGTATTGTATGTAATTGATTAAGTATAATCTTAAGACACGAAGTATGGACAATGCTCTCGAACCACGTGCTTTCGGTAAAAACATCTAATATTGCTTTTATTATTCACCACTAAGCTGCCTTGAAAATACTCTCAATGTTCTAGACGTCTTTACCTAAAAAACTCCATTTTTTCGAAAATTAAGTCGAGTTGCTACTTATGACTTTACACGTGTCATTTTTTGGTAGAACGGAACGATCCTGCAAAATCTCATTTAAGGTGGTTCTTTCCCAATTGTAATAGTTAAACCAAATCTCAAATACAGAAGGTATTAATAATGATATATATTGTCTAAAATATAATTCTTAAATTATTATTTGATTATGATTTTTAACAAAAAAAAAATATAGGAATTGATACGATTACAGTCGCAAATAGTTTTTTAAGTATTATTTTATCCAACATAATTGTTGTGAAATCGAGCACGGGACAATTTTGTGATGACAATAGAAATAACAAAAAGATTAGTAAAGACTATTCCATAACAGGGCACCCCTGCGCCTACGAGATGATCATCGAACCAACAAGCAGACTACTATCGGTTGCCGTATACTAGGGGCATCCGTACATAAAAATAAAAGAAATGCGTGCAAATACATACCCATAAGTGAAAAGATGTACTAGTTATAAGTAAGCAGTAGTGAAATAACTTGTTATTATATAGTAACTTTAATAAACAATCAAACAAACAAACGTGTCAGATTTTATTCGTGCTCCCTCCTCGCATATCATGTTCTCCTGATACCAAAATGTGGAACTCGGAAGTTAGAACGGTGGAAGTAATGCAGACCTGAACTCGATGAAGTTTCATCCTAACAAATTGATCATACTCTGACTTTTGATTTATTGTATTCACGAAGTTGAACTATATATCGGAATAGCTGGAATGATAAACATGATGAGAACATCCATATCGTCAACCCCAAAGGGCTGAAGGCGTAGAGGTACTCGCTGTTGTTTAAGATCGAGCACAGACTGCGACGAACAAAAGCTTGCAACGGGGCGGCTGCCTTTGTCCCAGCTGTTTGTCGAGCGTGGAGAAAGGTAAGCGAGCTTTTCCATTCAACAGAAGACAGTGCATGGTTCATGAAGGCTGGTATGCCTGGTAAGTACCTGTCTCTGTTGCACGAACCTGAACAAAGTTATATCCTCTATTGTATGTGTTACTGTATTCTCTTTGCTAGTTCTCTGGTAGATGGACTTTAAGCAAACGATATCTTATCACAATATACGCGGTGTCTAGTTTGAAACAAGCTAACCATTTCTTATTGTCTAACTTTTGTATCACTTAATCAATGAATACTATAAATAGCCAGAAATAATTTGTTTTTAAAAAGATGAAATGATTTCAATGCGATAGCGGGTTAAATTGAATTCTCCATTTGTTCTCAGAAGGACATAATAGATTCTTGCTACAGTTGTAAGTGGATCGGGCTTAGAGGATTGTAAAATGTAAATGTAAATGAAAAAAAATGATCAACTTTCAATTAAACACACAACACTCTCGCAGTTAATGTTAATGTTAGTAACTTCTGCGTAATTTTACATATATGTGTATATAAACTTTTATTCCTAGTCTTCTTCGCGCTGGGGCACTTTGTTAATCCTTTTCTTCAAGCTTCTGCGCACTTCTTCTATCGTTTATATTTCACCTGCTCTTTTTAAATCCACTCGTTACGAGGATTAAACGAAAAATAACGCGCCACAAGTGGATTCGATTGATTACTTACAGGGAACTAGTCTATTATTAATTATAAAAAAGAAATATTATATAATCTATCAAACGATCTTGTCTCAAAGCAGGCTTGATAAATACAATCATTTTCACAGATGGGCATTTATGCTCTTTAATGTTTCATAGTCAGGAATAATAAATAATAAATAATGATTAGATAGAAATTGGCTCAATAAAAATAGTTATACAGTGGGCGTAGAATGTATTCGTACACCGATCAATTAACAAAAAACTTTTTGTGTGAAATTGTAGTTTCTTAACTTCTTTTTATAATCACTGATATTTTACGTATTCTCAGAAATCTCTAAGATAGACATACTTCAAGTAACATGTATTAATTAATATAATTTGTGAAATTAACAAAAAAAAATGCAAAAAGTGGGTAAAAGTATAGAAGCAATTTGTACAAAAGTATTTGTACGATTCTTATGACGAACCATTTACAGTAGAGTTTGTAACGTAAACACATTAGTTTATTGCTCCGTACGAATTAGAAAACATCAAATTTCCAATAAAGTACTTTTAAACAATTTTCCGAATACTTATTGCTTCAACATTTCTATCGATTAATTGTTTTTTTCTTGTTAATTAAAAAAAACTTTTTTTAGAGTAAGAACCTTTTTTGCTCGAATAGAGGAATGGAAGAAGATCCCACTTCGAATAACTAATAATTTAGTTAATTTAATGCTTAAAAGAGTTGCAATGATTATAACATCAAAAGGAAATTCCACGAAGGAAGTATTATATAGTTATAAATTAATGTAAATTTCTTTTTTTCTTAATGAAGTTTTAAAAATTAAACAGTTGTGCCATTACTTATTGCTTCAATATTTCTATCGAATAATTGTTTTTTTTCCTGTTAATTTCGCAATTTACATAAATACCTATTTTTTGGGTACTCTATTCTAAAGATTTCCGAAAAATATGTAGAATGTCATTGTTTATAAAAAGTAAGTTAATAAATTACAATTTTACATAGTTCTTTTTGAAAATTGACCGGCGTACAAATACTTTTTACACCCACTGTATGTCTTTCTTCTAACTCAAACTGTTGTTAATCTTTCATTTATTTGAGACTTTCCTCCAGATGCCCATCTCTGTTTACAGCTATTGATCATTGCCAACAGTCGTACCGACAGAGTCAAGAATCAATTGTGTAACAACGTTACAATTTCGTCAACTCTTGTGGCCCAAAGGACGATCAACATTAATGAAAACTCGCGTTATAGCGTTCAGCAATAAATTCCGTCGATTTCACGAGGCTGTTAAGACACAGTGTTTCTTTCTGACGCGTTTAAATGCTTTCGCAGTTTATAAAACCCTGTTCCCTATCGCCATATTCCTCACGTGTTACTCTTTCAGGGGTCTTTTCGCTTCAGAGGCGCCAAAAAATAGGACTAATTGAATTTTTCAATACTTATTTTGGTTGAGCAAGTATGTATATTATATTCATGTACCAGTCGACAGCGCATATTCCTTGCGCATCATCACCTGTGCAGGTCAGCAGCTGATTTATCGTTTCCTCCTTTGGTGGTGCTAGTAGAAAGGATAATACCGAACCTAACTAAAATTGTAAAGATAAAAGTAAGAGACATTTTACCTTCAGAAACGTCGAAGAGTAGCAATAATTTCTGTTCCCGAAAATTGACGTTCTTTGTGTAGATAGTCTTCTTAATATTTTTCTAATTCAATACAAAAGTTAACACTTGTAAAGTTATCGTTGAGTGTCCAAATGTCCGAGTGTCTCGTATAGAGAATAGTAGGAGGATAAATATATTTTCATAATAATAACATTTGGGCCCCTCTCAAAGTACATAATTCAGGCCCCGATAAGTTTAGATCCGCCCACTGTCACTGTACATCGATTTTTCTAGTTATACAGATGCCAAAATCTTATTAAGTTATTAACAAAATTAAGTGCCAAATTTGTGGAAGGTCTGACGTACACATATAGTATTTCTAAAAAAAAAAATTTGCAAATATGACCCATTTCTTGAAGCGCTGAAGCGAGAAGACCCCTTAACTGGTTGAACGCCTTGACGGACGTCTTTTACGTTCAGAGTGGAATCTATTGTTCGCCAATCCTGCAAGCACACCTGACGTCATCAGAGCGTTCAACCCATTAAAAGTGCTGTTCTCGTTCAACAAAGATTTACCAAAGACAACGAGTTTCGCACAGAGATGGTCAAAATTTTACTCGAATAATGAATGACAATGACGCTTATGAACAATCTATACATGTAAGTCCGTTAAATGAAAAACAGGCTTCTCGCAATTAAAATTCCATTTCTCAATCAATAAATTACGAATAAAAAATTACGTACTTTTTATTTGTTATTCCAATTTTTGATCTAAGTACGAATTTTGCCCATCTCTGATCCCCCTTTTACGTCTACGGCAGCATATCTCGAACGCAACGTACAATTTTTATATTAATTTCACTTTATAATAATAATAATAATATATATATAATAATATAATTACAAATAATTAATTATTCGCAATATTTATTTGAATATTTCACTAGATTTGTAGAATGTCTCTGTTTCGCCCGCGTTTAGGCTCGACGTCGCCCCGGGTGTGAAGGCGCCTATTCTTTTTTCACGATTTTTTCCTTTTTTTAGTGTTTTTTTTTTTTTTTTTTTAATATTTTATCACAGGAGCCCATTTTCGACCACGTTCCGGCGCCGCGCTTTGACACACTGTCACTGGAACGACGCAGTAGAGTGGCGAACGATGAAGGTATACGTCTTGTGTTTCTGGATGAATGTAACAAACGTTTAGTGCAACACAGGCAGGTGATAATTTAGGAAAATACTAAAGTTAAACTTCTACTGCCGTGCGAATGAAAAGATAATTATGAGACGGTGTCTACACACGTTAAAGCAAGGATGTAATTATTCATACATTGGTCAATAAATTTCATATATCTTCTATCGCACGCCCACTCCTCTTATTTACATCTCATTGTACGATCAATCTTTCACAAACTTCCTTAACACGTTGACAGCCCAAACGATTTTATACAAATTTCCCCCGATGTGCATCCCAAGATTTTCCATAATTTCATATCAATTAGAATTCCTACGAATTAAAAACCGAGACATCATTCGTGTACGATTAACGTGGCTCCTTACGACCCTAACCCTTTGCACTTTACTGGCACCGCTACGTGGTAGTATTACGTATCACAACTCAGGTCAAGTTTCATTTATGTCAATGCAAACCAAATAAACATAATCAATAAATAAAATTTACCTTACAAGCGTTTACAAATTTCCACGAGGAAACGAACGATTTTAATTTCCAGAAGGCACCGTAAAATTTCCTTGAAGTCGCTCGTATTAAAAAAAGATCTCGAAGCGCAAAAGATTACAATTTAAATATCATTCGTGAGCCAGAGGTAGACAGAATTTTATTTGACTGAATTGAGCTTTCATTCCATCAATATGAGATATAATGTCGTTTTGCAATCCAAAGTTGAATTTTTATTTAAAATCGTTTCATCTTTAAATTTATATTTAAATAAAAATTCTGTCCACCCCTGTCGTGAACGATTGTCGTGGCAGTCGATGTGCTAAACGCCACCGATCGACAAGACGGTTCTACGAATAAAAATAAGGAATATCGTTAAGTTTTTTGTACAAGTAAAAAATAAACGTAATTTTACTCGTTATCCCGTGTAATCGGGATCCCTACTACGTCCTACTAAATTCTTTCTTCTCCGCTCTTTTGACCAGTCGCAACTTGTGAGTTACGAGTCGCGACTGGTCGATCGAACCTTTTCCCTTCTAGCCATAAATCTTACAAACGTTCAGTGTTTAGGGAAGCAGCTGGAAAGGAAATACGACGCTCGATAATCAGTCCTTGTGCCTCTTGTATACTCTGTTCTGTCTTTACGTATATTCGATGCCCTCGAGACCCTCGTCTAGTACTCGCTTCACCTACGCCACTGCAAATACCCTAGTCATTTCCCAACACCTAAAGAGAACTCGAGCAATGGATACCCTACACACGCGTTAGTTACAATAGAATTGATCGATTTCATTCAATGTTGAAAAAAATGTTCTTGAGGATAGCTTTGACTGCTAAGCAATCGAGTATAATGTCATCATCATAGGAAAAACTCTTGTAAAATATTAGTATGGTTGAGAATAATTGAACTCTTGTCCAGTTTTACTTTGAAGTCCATTGACGAATTTAATTTCCAAGAAGCTGGGTTAGTCATAACCATACTCATACTTTTGTAAATAACCAAGCATTTATGGAAAGAAATGTTATAGAATTTGTGCCATGATGTTCATTCGTGATGATTCTTAACTTCTTCAAGATCATAGCGTAGTCTAAATAAAGACTCTTGGTCTTATTAGGGTTATGGCACAATTTAGAGAGAAAGAACCTGGCACAATTCTCAATTCCAAATAATTACAGTAACAAATATTCATGGATGTATCGATGATCAAGAAATAAATCTGCTTTTGATAGGTAGAATAAAATGTGTACAATGAAGTCTCCTTCCAAGTTTAACCTAAATACACACGATAGTAGGTCACAGGTCCCTGTGATTGTATGTAAAATATTGAGCATAACTCGATAATATTGGAGATATAAATTACCAAAGAAACACATCTTGGAGCTACGCAGTATATTACTGAAGCAGTCTACTTGTATAAACTTATGGTGGTCCTCAACTTAAATTACCTGTACAACTCCAAGACTACCAAATTAAGCCACTCAATATTCGACATACTCTGGCAAATTGCACCCAATTCTGACGTGGTAAGCAGTGACCCAGGGAAGCTGGGAACGTCTCGAATCCTAACAATTCTAGCCGACCATGCCACTCGTCCTGAAGGCACGCTCGTCAGTCGTGAAACGTTCTCGAAAATCGGTTCCCCGATTGGCTAGCGATGAGAGTCCCAGTCTTCTCGCCACCCCAGGACAGACTGTACAGTCCCTGGGCGGTTAAGGTCGATTCACGTTGGCCTGTGGCCGACGAATGGCTCTGGCCAACAGAGCGTTCTCCGTGGAACGTCTTCAGGAACGCGTATCCGGTTACCCTTTGGGAGAAACACGCGTCGTCGAACCGTGATCAATGTCTTCTCAACTGGTCGCCAACGGGGAATCCTCCATGCGACCACGTCGAGGACGCGAACGGTCGGAAGGAATTATTTACATCGTAGCAAGTTGTTCTGAGAAACCACATGATCACAGCCACTCGGTGAGGCAGCCACCGAACCACATAACCACGATGGGAACTAGATACGTCGTCAGAGCTTGCGACAGGGACATCTTCTGTCTGCTCGCGCCGCTGTCCACGGTGGACGTCCCGTTGCTCTTGTTGTTGTTGTTGTTGTTGCTGACAGTGTTCGGGACGTTGTCGACCCGTGGAGGTACAACCTCCCGGTTAACATCTGGCCGTGACTGCTTCGGCGTCTCCGTCGGCGAGGACTTTGGCTCGTAGCCTGAACCTTCCTTGAAACCATCCTCATCGTCGGTTAGCGGACTCTCCTCGTCCGTACTACCGCCAGATCCACTTCCTGAACCGGTCCAGTCCGTCTCCTCTGCAATTCAGAAGACGTTGATTCGATTAAGACGATGAAAGACAATGCTAAAGTAGTTGAATGTGGGACAATGGCCTCAAAACGTGGCTGAAATGTCTAATAGTCGGGCTCTTAAAAATAAAGCTTATCAGGTTCGGTACAGGGAAAACTTGGTAGTAATATTTATTATTAGGTAGCTTCATTTTTACACCGATTAAGTATAATATATCATTGGATGGATGTTTAAAGTAGGAAGGATTTGGAAGGTTGTGCTACATTGTTGCCAAGAACAAACAGGAATTCTCCCCATTCTTACGTTATCTATTCTATTTCTTAGTGATACTCCTAGTTTCTTCTAAACATAGCAGGTTCCACCTAAATGTGACCAGTATGCAATCTCAAATTCTATTTTCGCCATTGTATATAAATTTTATGTCATGTATGTCTTTCCTCCAATTCCTATTTATATAATTTTACATCCATATTTTTCCCCTTTTCTCTTTCTTGCAAAATGAGACCATATCCATTCAAGACGTTGCTCAAGAGAACTCAAACAGAACTAGGAATACTCTTGCGACATTTCCTCCGCGAGATAAGATAAAGATCTCGCTACATCAGTCTGATAATTTAGTATCCGTGTCACGTTGCCACGTTACATTATTAGCGTCATAAATAGCTCTCTTTTGAAATTGGAATACACCGAGGCGAATGATAATGGTGGAACGTCTGCGACAGATGTCTACCTAGACCGTTCTTTTATTTTCTACAAAACGCAACCGGCGAAGGAATTTCGTGTAAACAGCGCCAGATGGGAGCTGTACATCCACTTCTACCAGACAGAAACATGAAGTATTCGTACAAAACAAATTAGCTTTTGTCGGAGGATCGGAAACGGCTGATCGTTAATTGCTCATGCGATAAATGCTCGCAATTACGGTAGACGTGAAAGATGCATTGAGTTTGTTCTGCAAACTGGCGTTTCCATTTAATCAACTCATTATCCGGTTTCGATTAGCTATTCCCGTGCACGAACCAAGTATACATTGTTACTGATTACACGATTGGGGCCACTATCCTATTGTCTATACTATACGTTTTAACTAAATACCGTGCGGCGCGCGTTCGCTGGATCAGTGTTTACTTTAATCGGGAGCGTTCAGTCGGAAAATACATTTCTATGTAAACTTTCTGCATAGAATCTTAACCCTAGCAAAACTAACACCCGGGGGTTATATTGATTTAATTAAGTTAAAGTAAATGATTATTAGGGGGACCGGAAAGTAATGTCGTTTCTTTTACATTAAATTCTAACATATAAATTCATAACAAGTTTTTACTTTTAATCAATTATGTTTGCACTCTTTACCAACAACCTTGTGCTATCTAGTGTGCAAATTTTCAAACTCAAACCGATAAAAATCAATTGGTACACAATGTCCTGATAAATGATAAACAAGTATTGACATCTGCAGAAACGACATTATTTTCTGGTCCCCCTAATATGATAACCCATTGTATGTAATCACTAGACTGCGGATCTTTATGCGTTTATAAGAAATTTGAATGTACAAGAACCTATAAAATTCAAACAATATGCAAGAATATAAAAAAGATTGAAAGTAAAGTTAATGTTATAATATTTGCAGAATAAAAGAAATTCCTATTTAGGTTCAATTCTTGTAGGCACATTCGCGAAGATTTTATTTTCCATAAAGATCCGCAGTCTGGACTAATCACAAAATGTTAATCAAGTAGATTTCACTGGAGAACAAATGGTTCTGTGTTTACAGTATTTTCTTCAACTACTTATTTTTGAAAGAGGTTTTACTAAGTGTAAATAAGGCCCTCTCCTAATTTTTAAAATGAAGGTTCAGTCTTTTTAAAATGAATTATTTAAACGCTTTGTGATAAATTTAGACTCCACGACTAGTGGCGTCAACAGTTCGCCTGCTCGCTACGCACTGAAGCAATACTCTGCTCTATACTATACGTTCTTCTCAACTAACGTACCTGTGTCTATCCAATCAACGTCCTGTCCATTAAACGCGGATTTCAGTCTGTTCGTGATGGTCGTCAGCGCATAAATCTGATCCTTCACGATAGTTGGCCTTGGCCCCGTGCTCCGTACCTCAGGATTCAGTATCTGAGTCTCCCCACTAGGTGATACAGGGTATATGTACCTGCAAACAAGCAACAATTTGCATTAACCGTGAACAATCATTAAGTTCAGCTACTAAGAAAGGAACCTTGTACTCACTTGTCCACATGAGTGCCGTTCCAACACTCCTTCGTGTTACTGGGTGGCACCACCAGGCCGTCGTTGCAGAGCTTATAGGGCAGATAGATCCAAAACTGACGGGAATCCCTGACCCTCTGTCGTATCTCTTTCACGAGGTTGTCTAGAATTGCAGCAGTCGAGGCACGGTCCTCCGTCGGCGTCTCCTGATCAAAGTTCAACGACTCGAGCTTCAGCTCCCTATTGTCCCTGCGTCTACGTCTACCCAGGACAGGCCTACCACAACCGGTGAACACCCTCTGGGACACATCGTGGCTGTTCTCCTGGAAGTTCATTATCGCCTCAGATATCTTCAGGTTGATGGGTCGCACCAGCATCTCGATGTTGAAGGGACCCAACAGTCTATCCGCCACCTTGTCTACAGCCTCTGCAATTGAAAAACAATTGTTGAGAAATTAATGGTCAGCGCAAAGGGAATAGGGGATTTAGCTTCAGGGGAAGTGATAATGGTGCAGAGGGCTTGTGGCGTCCATAAAGGGGACTGGAGGACTTTATTGCTGCCTTTTGGAGATATGAAAGGTACGATTTTTGGGGTACAATTTTATATTATTAATTATATTATACTTACAAGTTTCCCACGTGTCTAATTTATTCGCCACCCTCGATTATCCCAAATCCTACATATACAGCCAATCCCATAAGTATTCGTACCCCCCATGACTATTTTCAAATGATAGTAAGTTATAAGTCAAATGATACGTTTGATATTAAGTATATACATGTGTAAAGGTTATTCGTGTATATAATTATAATGAAAAATTTGTGTGGAAACATCAAGCCTATCATTTGATTCAGACCTCCATAGACACAGAGGGAGTGATTGTATTTCATAGTCCCGTGGTGTACCAAATTCGACCATCACAATTATCAATTACAATTATCAATTATCAATATGCAAAGCACACGAAAGCACACGTAGAGAATTTAAAAATAGTAGCTTACTAAACATTTTTGACATTGTGTATCTCAGAAACGATTGACTTTTCGACCTATGTTTACTAAAGCATTTTTACTCGGTACAGTGTGTCCAATATACCATATAAATATTGATGAAGGGGACTGGAGGACTTTATTGCTGCCTTTTAGAGATATGGGATACGATTTTTGGAACTTATCTAGGCACTCTGGAATAAAGAAGGTTTTAGATACTCGAAAATCTTTTAATTAAATATTCCCTACTTCTGATCGATAAGTGTCGTGCTGCATCGACTTCGCGACACTTATCGACGACTCGCCGTATCTTGGAAAATACTAGGTTTAGGATACATGTACCTTAACACTTTTTCCCTCAGAATTCAGAGCTCTATCCATCTCCATCAAGCAAAATTACCTGTCGAAGGTTTTGATCGAATTATCCAGGCTTTAAGGAATACTGAGTTTCAAGGAACTCTTCTATCAATTCTATGGGGTCCATTTTAAAACCTAACGGGGTTTTTCTCACGCAATAAATAAAACGAAGAGCGTGTATCGACGCTAGCGATCATACCGTGTCGCTCCAGACCGTAATTACAAGAAGAACAATGGACAGAAAATTACTCACCGACGAAGTGATTCCATTCAGCGTCCAGAGCCGCATGCTGGGCCAAGCAACCCTTTATCACGTTGGTACACATGTCGGCGCACGCCAGCACGTTACCAGTTATCCCGCTGCAGGAAGGACAGACTGTCATCCTGGTAAGTGCAGCTGCACAGTCCACGGACGGTTTCAGCTGCCAAAACAAAACGATTTATGAATTGTACTGCCGTCTACTCTACTTCCACTCTTCGAGCTCCATTGGAGCCATGGGCGTAGGTTGCGTTGTAGCGAATTGGACACAGATTGGGAGTCCTAGCGAATTAGGAACCAACTTTGGGGAGAGGAAACGTACCAACAGGTGCGAGTGAGATCTTTACCGAGGCTGTACCTATGGACGGTGGGCTTGTGATGAAAGTATTGGGCTGTCTGGAAAGTCCATGCCGATTTTTAGTAGGTGGTACAGGTATGAATATGTCGGAATGGTTGAAAACAAAGAACATGTATACACTCCTTAACACGTTGACTGCCAGATTGATACTCTTGAAAATTTCTACTGTGATTAAGTTTTGTTTCTAGACTATTAGAAGCTACATAATCAAACATTTATTGTGGTACTTATTTTTATAACTTCGTTAAAGTTTAAGGACTTCATTCAAATTTATTTTCTTTGTTACTGAACATTCAAAATTAATTTTGTTTGCTCTTCAGTGAAAACCACTGTCACCCATATGTGGGTGACACGGCGATGAACGTGTTAAAAGGTGCAAAGGTTGTGGAACAAAATGGTACATATATAATTCAATAAATATGCATCAATATTCAAATATGCCTTTGAATTTTTCTTCAAAATACGCATGAACTTTCCATACATCCCAATATTTGTGAGGTTCTTTTGTTTTATTGTATTAGGGAGACTTTATTGTATTAGGGAGAGTCGTATCTTTTACATTAAATTCTAACAAATAAATTCATAACAAGTTTTTATTTTTAATCAATTATGTTCGCACTCTTTACCAACAACCTTTTCCTATCTAGTGTGCAAATTTTCAAACTCAGATAGATAAGAGTCAATTGGTACACAATGACCTGATAAATGATAAACAAGTATTGACATCTGCAGAAACGACATTACTTTCTGGCCCCCCTAATATTTAAATAAGTTTAAAGAATATGTGGAGTTAATGTGTAACTTAATTTAAATTGAATAGAAAATTTGTAAATATTAACCCTTTGCAATCGAGAGGTGACTCTCAGTCACCATTAGGTTTTACGCAGCAAATCTACAATACCTAAAGTTTCTTTAGGTTTAATTTCTTTGGAGCTCGAAGTGTCAATAAAATGATTGTCGGTGAGGTAAAGGTGACCTTATTCTGAAATCTAGATAGCTTAGAATTCATGGCAATAGAATGCTAAGAAAGCATCTCGAATTGCTGGTGGATACCAGAAAAAAGGTCTCGAGTGCAAAGGATTAACATTCTTTGTATGGGAACAGATTTAATATACAGGGTGTTTCGTTTAAATTATTAGGAGGACCAGAAAGTAATGTCGTTTCAGCAGATGTCAACAGTTGTTTATCATTTATCAGGTCATTGTGTACCAATTGATTTTTATCGATCTGAGTTTGAAAATTTACACACTAGATAGCAAAAGGTTGTTAGTAAAGAGTGCGAAAATAATTGATTAAAAATAAAAATTTGTTAGAATTTAATGTAAAAGAAACGACATTACTTTCTGGTCTCCCTAATACAATAAAAGAGCCTGTATTATACAGAATACGTTATAAAATTAAAACAACTACCATATCAAAGCGAGACAGTATATTTGTACGTTAGAATCAACTTATACATCGACATATACATAAAGATTGCTTTGGTTTGTGTGCATTCGTTTGAAGCAAAAAAAGTAATTTATTTAAAATTCGTCCCTCAAGAAGTTAACAAAATTAATTTGTTTACTACATCTTCTCCACTACTTCTCCACTTCATTTACGGGGAAATTATTTGATGTGTATAATTTGTCCATTTTAATCAAATAATTTATTGTAAAAACAGTTTTTTGATAGATTCATCCTTTCGTGATATATTTAACCATTTTAATGAAAAAGAAACACTCTGTATATTAAAAAGATTGTTTCAGGGTGTCCAAAGATTGTCGATCTTTGAGAAATATTGGATTAAAGAAACGTTTTCGTTTCCTCAGCCAATTGAACCATATAATTAAATATATTAAAATATAAAATATATATATAATATATAAAATATATATTAAATATATCATGAAACGATGAATCTATCAAAAAACTATTTTTACAATAAATTATTTGATTCAAATGGACAAATTATACACATTAAATAATTTCGCTGTAAATGAAGTAGCGGAGAAGATGTAGTAACCAAATTAATTTCGTTAACTTCTTGAGGGAAGAATTATAAATAAATTTCTTTTTTGCTCCAATCGAATGCACACAAACCAAAGCAATCTTTATGTATATGTCGATGTATAAGTTGATTCTAACGTACAAATATATTGTCTCGCTTTGATATGGTAGTTGTTTTAATTTTAAAAGGTATTGTGTATAATACAAGCTCTTTTTAATTTCGTTGAGTAAATGACTCACCGATTGCATACTCTTCAGGACGTCCGCAGCGACAGTCAAGGCTTGGCTGAAGGCCCTGGTTGCGACGAAGGATCTCTTAATCTGCACCCCCAGCTTCTGAGGAACGTCACCAAAGGGTCTCATCTCTTTCATATGGTCCCCGACGCACTCCAAATACTTTGCATTGAAGTCGTATTGGCTGTTGAGCACCGTGAACATCTTCTGGTAAAGGATGTTGAAAAAGTTGTCCATTACGTCGTCGAGGTCAACCTGAAATAAGAAAAAATTTGGGAAAAATTATAATCTGTTCATAATATATTAGGTGTAGAAATTAATTCTGTGTCTTTCTAACCTGACCACTTGTTTGTGAAGAACAACTGTGCAACGTTTGATCTTTCCTCAGGCATACATTTTAAAAGAGCACACGTAACAAAATGGAGAATAAATATTTCTATTTAAGCTAGAGTCATAAGTATACTGCCGATTTTTATGCATTTATAGGAAATTTGAATGTGCAAGAAACTACAAAATGCGCACAGTATGCAAGAATATAGAAAATATTGAGAGATAAGTTCATATTATAATATTTGCAGTGTAAAATAAATTCCTATTTTGGATCAATTTTTGTAGGTACGTTTGCCAAGATTTTATTTTGCATAATCCACAGTCTAGTCATAAGTGATCAAATGTAAAGGCACATAATTAATTTCTACACCTGTCACATTCTTACTACTCAGTCCTCTATTAGCAAGATCAGCATGTAAGAAGAGGACCCTTTCTAGGCTCGAATTTCTAATGTCTAATTCACAAATTATCGGATAACAATTAACCCTTTGTGCTCGAGGCATTGTTCTATAGAATTAAATCCAGTCCATTTTTATAATAAATTTCTGTAAAACCAAAAAACTCTACTTAGAAAAGAAACATCTACGAATATTCGTGACTCAATGAATAATTATTAAAATTTATAAGTAGCTGTATTCTGATATAAGTAAAATGAAAATTGTACGTTGAAAAAGTCACTTTTAAATTACATATGTCGCCCTAGAGACGCCACTCGAGCGCAAAGGGTTAAGGGGTTAGTCGCAGTCAGGAAAATGGAAACGGACAGTGTTTCTTGTGTGTTTTTTTTTAAGTTATTAAATAATAGCTTTTATTAATGAAATGTAAATATATTACAAAGTATGTCTTAAAGAACTATAAAAGAATTTTTGTTTTAAAAAAAGGTTAATTCATTTCGTCGTAACAGCCGATGGCGTGGGTGGCTACTTGGTTTGTGGTGAGCAAGATTTCCTCAAACTGGTGCACCTGAAAACAAAACTAAAGGTAGATTTAGAAAATATATTAAACTAACGGGTCCATGATCGAAGGATTTTTTATTTTCTTGTATATTTTTTTGTTATCCTGTATTGAATCGCTTAATTTTCGTAAAAAAATTGAAAATCAACTTCAAATGTACGCCATCTTGTTTTAAATTAATTTTTTCCAAAATCCTTGGTTCAGAGACCCGCTAGACTAATCTATTTTCGAAATCTACCTTTGTTTTTGTTTTCAGGTAAATTAGTGTAGAGAAATCTTGCTCGCCGCAAACCTACGTTTTTAAATCATCGTCTACGTCATCGGCTGTTATGACGATATAAATTAAACGTTTCTTAAAACAAAAAATGTTTTTTAGTTCTTTAAAACATGCTTTATAATATACTTAATTGTTACTTATGGAAATTATTATTTAATAATTAAAAAAAAAAAATCACAAAGAAATGTCGTTTTTCCTCTTCCTGGCTCCGACTAACCCCTTAAGTAAAGATAGAGAATTCCCTATATATTCTGCCAGACGTTCGATTAAATCCAAGTGTTCATCGAAGGTCTCGAAAGGACCTCAGAATTTAGCTCCTTAGCAAACCGATCAAACTTTCAAGACAGGAATGGAAACCGTCTCGACGGAGTCTCGAGGCTAATCAAACGAAACGGGTAAACAAAGAAGGACCGAACGCGATCCTGGAAGCTCCCGATCATCCGTATTTCCCATTCATGGTTTCCCTTCACCTTTTCCTGCCCAATATTCGAGCCGATCGAAGGAATAATCCCGCAATTTGACGAGTTATTACGCAACTGGACGAAACGGGGATAGAAATAGAGAAGAGGAAACGAATCAATCTCGATAAATTCGACTCCTACGATCGCATGACGCGTAGACGCAATATATCGTCGATATAAATTCGTTACAGGCCGCGCAGGTAATATATTCATGCGGTGCCATTTTCGTTGCGCTACCCTTCGTGCCAGTGATGCACATGCCCATGGCCCGCAGGCCAATATCGCCCATACGTGTATCTTCTCCAATTTTATTCCTTCCGATGCGATACGAGTTGGCAAAATGAACGAACCGAGTTTTAAATAAGGGAAATTTATAGATTGTGGCAGAGTTACACTTTCACTTTCCAGAAATACACGGTCTGTCTAAAAAGAAACCGAACTTTTGCTCTAAAATTTTTTCTAATCGCACCATCTAGTTATAGATAATAAAAGACGAAAGGTTGAACGTTAATTGTTGACCGTGCATAGTATCATTTGAATCGATCGTCCACATTCCGTTGTGTGACTTGAAATATAACGGAAGTTTGTGATGCTTGTTAGAATACCGCAATGGAGCGCTAATATTAAGTTCTGTGTTAAATTGAAAAAGACTTTTACCGACCGCTTACGTTATCAAAACAAGTGTATGGAGATGAATGCCTAAGCCGTACACGAGTTTACGAGTAGTTGACTCGATTTAAAAACGATCGAGAGTCCATTGAAGACAAAGTTGGATGTTGCTGCACGACAATGCACCTGCACACAAAGCCGCAATTGAGCGTCAATTTTTGGCTAAAAAAGGCATTGTTACCTTCGATCATCCACCTTACTCGCCCGATCTGTCTCCCTGCGATTATTTTCTTTTCCCAAAATTGAAAATTCCAATGAAAGGGACACATTATAGTAATATTGCGGAGATTCAGGCCGCTGTAACCGCCGTACTAAACGGGCTACCAAAACAGGAGCTGCAAAGATCCTTCGAAATGTTATTTACGCGGTCTACACGCTATATTGACGCAGAGGGGGATTATTTTGAGTGAATAAACGTGTGTGTAAAAACTTTACTTGTTCTTTTTTCTTTTTATAGCAAAAGTTCGGTTTCTTTTTAGACAGACCGTGTATGTGCTTCAGAAAACTCATCTGTTGGAAGCTTTCTGGAAGATACTGGACATAGATTGTGGGGGTGTCAAGACTTTTCAGCGAGAAACTAGAAATATTAATTGTCAAGATAAAAGAATATATGTGGATAGGACTCGTGAATTTATTGGAGTTAGAAAAATAAACACTACGAAAAGTATTGGGTTATGTATTGGGTATGAATTCCTGTTACAAGCAGATATGTGCTTCAGAAGACTCATCTGTTGGAAGCTTTCTGGAAAATACGGGTTTCTTTTTGGACAGACCGTGTAGTATCATGAAATTGTTCGTATGTTCCAATGGTTGCTTGTAAGTGGAATTTTGATCTTTACAGATGGGTGGATACGTTACGAAGTATAGTGTGTGTATCGATATAGTATCGAGAAATGTAATTAGTAGATTGTGGATTTTATGCATTTACGACGTAGAATTATG